TGGACCATGCTGGGTCAGGAGTGTTACAGACAGGGACGTGCTTTCCAAAGGGCAGGGGGGCTGAGCCCATAGATGGAGCCATGAGTCTGGGGTGGCTGCAGACCGGCTGCTGGCACCGGTGCAGGCAGGCCAGGACGGGCACGATGGGGATCTCAGACGGATACAGTGAAGGGGGAAGTGGCAGAGACGGTGGGGGGGCCAAGATCCAGCTGAGGGGTCTGGAGACGGAGCAGCTGAAAGGCAGCCTGGTGGTCCTCTACGCTCCTGCAGGGAACTCCTGTCTGCTCGACTGGTGGGACAATGTGTGCAGGGTTTAGCGCAGAGAGAGTGTGTGTGCTAGGGCTGATACATGCTCCTTTATTTAATGATCGATAGTAGATTTTATAAGACAGATGTGATGGAAAGGAATTGATTAATCAAAAATTCAGTCAAACTTCTGCACACTGTCTAAGTTAAAAAACAAAACAAAACCCTGTCACTAGTTTTTGAGCAATTTAGACAGTGTTCAGGGGTTTGCCTTCTATAGGACTTCTATTTTTTGTATAAAAAAACATTTTTTACTTGAATCTCATGAAAGTTAAAATTCTTGTATCATGACAACCCTAGTGTATACTGTCCTCAGAGTGTGTGTGCTCTGAATCGGTGTGATTTCAAATGTGCTGCTTGTGAAGAATCATTGGAAAGACTCTGAATGTATCCAGCATCGTGTGTGTGTGTGTGTGTGTGTGTGTGTGTGTGTGTGTGTGTGTGTGTGTGTGTGTGTGTGTGTGTGTGTGTGTGTGTGTGTGTGTGTGTGTGTGTGTGTGTGTGTGTGTGTGTGTGTGTGTGTGTGTGTGTGTGTGTGTGTGTGTGTGTGTGTGTGTGTGTGTGTGTGTGTGTGTGTACGCGACCAGTTCCTCTTAACTCTTGTCCGCTGTGCCCTGCTGGTTGCTGCTCGTGTCGGTGGAGATGTCTCATCGATCCCATCAGCTCCTAGAGAGGCTCTTTTCATTCAAATTTAACATTACAAACGGTTTTCTAACAGATGTTTGATGAGGATTTAATCAGCCTCCACTTTTTTTAAACATATCTTTTTAGGCAGATTTTATACTAAAGTCCATGCAGGGTAAGTCAAATGAATCCCTTGATTTTTCATCATATTTTATTTTAAGTCTTATTGTGCTGTTTTAGTCTATTGTCAGGACAATTCTAACTTTTATGATGCTTAATCTGATCAAAGTTATTTCTAACTCTGCTGTTGTGGAGCATGTTGTAATTAAAGATGCTTCACATTAATGAGATTATTACAAGAGGGAAAGCTGTTAAAGAGGATGCTGATCTATAGAATCATTATAATAAAGAACAGCAGGTCAGAAACATCATCAGTCTGTGCATCCGTGCTGCAGCTTGAATCTCTCTTCATGTGTTGAATATTTTACTGGTTCATGTCTTCTCCTCGCACAGACAGCCTGCTCAGGGTTGACGGGTATCCCAGTACACTTTGTGCAGCACAGCAGTTGCTTGCCATGTGAATATTCTTGTGAGGTTTAGTTCTCGTTCTGTATGCAGAGATCAGCAGATGTTTGGTGCTCATGATATGACATCATTTATTTTCAGATAAACTGTGTACTGGAATAACATTCATTATGGATGGAATGACTCACTCAACTCATCATTTGATTACTATCACAATGGATCATTGGATAATTACAATTTAATCACAATCAGATTGTCTAATTATTGTACAGAAATGAGATTGAAGACAAATATTTATTTAAATTCTAACACAAAAATGCAAAAAGTTTTTGTCTCTTCTCTTTTTTTATAATGTAGTTTTCCTAGGTTGTACAGTTGTTGGTTGGTTGAAAATGTGTTGTTGCTGGTTTAAAGAGAGTATCAGAATATATATTTTCTGTCTCATATCTTTGAATGGGACTTTATATGAATCAGTTTTTTACAGTTTGTTGAGGTACGTTACATCTCTGATTGCTATTTATTTATTTATTTGTTTGTTTATTGAACATGGACATACAGTGCTGTAACATTTAACCATGCACAAGTTCCAGATGCACTGCTCTTAGTGTTTATGGCAAAATGCTAATTTGGAACACCTGTCCACGGGAGGCTTTTAGAAACAACAGAGATAAAGATAAAAAGGGTAAGAAAAAGAAATCAGTTGAACCTGCGAGCTAGTGCAGGAAGACAACTGGAGCTGCGCTGATTTCTTCTTTGACAAACCTCTTTCTCACAATCACCAACATATCCTCCGGATATGGCAGTCTATTAATGATGCAAGATTTCTGGTCCAACCCTCTGCTCTGTCAGTGTCATTACTGTCTCAAACCAGTGCTGCTCTCAAGCATTCAGCCCCACCACCACCACCCCAGCATCCACCTGTAGGCTCCCACTGGAGGGGTTTAGGTTTCATCTAATCACTCCTCAAATCTGCATATAAAATAATTCTGAGAGCTGTGATGAGGTTGCTGCCCAGACGTTAAACATAAACTTAGTTTGTCTGCTGCTGAAACACAAACCATAACAAACATGAGTTGTCTGACTGAACTCACATTACGAACATTTCTGCTGATGGTGTGTGTGTGTGTGTGTGTGTGTGTGTGTGTGTGTGTGTGTGTGTGTGTGTGTGTGTGTGTGTGTGTGTGTGTGTGTGTGTGTGTGTGTGTGTGTGTGTGTGTGGTGTGTGTGTGTGGGTGTGTGTGTGTGTGTGTGTGTGTGTGTGTGTGTGTGTGTGTGTGTGGGGGTGTGTGTGGGTGTGTGTGTGAATCTAAGTCGTTTTCTCATAGAGCCTCTTGATTTTGTAACTCTTTTATAACCTCTTGATAGTTATTTTATAACAAATGAGGTTGTTGTTTTGAATAAATATAACTGTAATTATGGGTCGATAATGTTTGTTTTTGCAGTATATACACTCTGTTCATGAGAGTGATAGAGCTGTGTGTGTGTGATGTGAGTGTGTATGAGGGGACATACACTGCTTTCATTCTAAATGTTGTGTACAGACAGTTTGACGTATGCATATTCACATTTCTCTGTAAATTACAAAAACGTTCTTTGTGATGTGTTTGTTTCTTCATATTTGGTTGTTGTTGCAACATTTGTGACATTTGAGCATCCCTGTCTGCAAAAAGTTTATAGGACTACCACAAATAGGTTTGTCTTAAGAATAAAAAAAACTTCTCTCTACGTTTTAGAGAGTCAGTAATCAGAGTTTATTGGAGAGATATAACTCTTTGTCAGTCATCAATCCGTCTGATCATCATCCTGATGAATCCAGTAGCAGTGTGCAGGAGCTCAGCTTTAAGTGTTGCTTTATTTTAGATCAGAAGAGTTCTGTTGAGCCTGTAACTCTGCAGAACAGTTAACAGTAGTGTTTCTGCTTTCAGCTGCTGTTCAGTCTCTCCTACAATGTTGTGACATTTAATGCACATTTAATTTGAAATAAAGTCCTGCAGACCACACAGTGTTTAAAGGGTTTGAATCATGGTCCCTTAAAAACACACAATTAATGGGAACTGAACCTTGAACACAGACTAGATCAAACTCTTTTTATAGAAGTTTAGTGAGACAGAGGACATTTAAAAGGGAAACTGAGGCAGAGCTGGGAAATCCAAAAGCTCTCCTCATACTTCCTGCTTCCCTGGTTTTCTCACATTCATCAAGACATTCAGACAGACAGATTGACCGAGAGAGAGTTGAGGTGTTTATGGACGAGGGCAGATGTTTTGTTGGAGATTTCGTCCAATTAAAAAGCTCACAGCAGACAGAGCGACGCACAGGCTGCTGTTATCGACTTCATAGTGACTATTCTCTCACGGAGGTCACGTCAAGTTCTCACACCCACACAGCCTCCTCCTCTGTGTGTGCGTGTGTGTGTATGTGTGTGTTTATCTTGGTAAGTCTCCTGCCAGCCTTGCTGCAGGTTTGAAGATGTACATCGATCTTTTTTTTGTTAGTGCATTGATCACAAAAAATGTGGATCATTATTATACCCGAAAAATGAAACCAAACCAGCACTGCCACAAACTGCAGTTCCTTGAGTGTCCACTTGAGGCTTTCTCCAAAGTGCAGGAAGTCCCATTAACTCCGATGTTAAAGTCCCCAGGAAACAGAACTTTGAGAATATCTGACTGCCGTGTCCTGATGTACTTGGATCTAAAACGGAAAACGACCAATCACAAGATCGAAGGCGGAAATAGCATTTGGGATGCATTTGATTGGATAATTAGCTAACTAGACTCACATTATGTTTTATTGAAATCTATTTTGCAGAAAATGAACATTTAATACGAGAATGCTGGATTAAAAAATGTAGGCCTGTGTTTCGTTTCATGTGGACTTTAAAATGTACATTTTTACAGTAGAAATAAACATGTTTACAGCCTGGTAAAAAAAATAGTTCTGATTATTTCATTATGATCAGCACACACACAGTATGGGGGTGGATTTTATTTAACTCAGGTGGAGCTGTTGTAGCTGTTTGCCAGGAAGCTTAAGACCCGCCTCAGCTCCACTTCTTCGTTTGTTACCATGCAGACCAAAAATCAGTTTGAAAGAGCATCACCTATATAGCGACCACCATAGCGCCTTAAAAGGACGCTTCAGAAACCAATGGGTGATGTCACTTAGACTATGTCCATGTTCAATAAAATCTATGATTTCTGCGTGTATACACCCAAACACAACTGCAGAGTTTTCACTCTGAAACAGGATCAGCTGTCTTCTTGAAGTCTGTGTGTAAGAGGCTCAAACATGCTGAAGCTGTGTGGATGTGAGGCATGAACATATCTACGGTTGTGTTTTTCCTAAACAAAATTGTGTCACTGTTGATGTGAACTCACATGAGTGTGGAAAGCATCCGGGAAACTTTGTAGACGATTGAATGATTCTTTACAACAACTGAGATCTATCATAAGTCATCACAGAAGTGTTATGATGCTGAATTACTCCTGTATGTGGTATTTAAGTTCAGTGATGAGTAACCGTTCTGTCTTTGTTTTCTGCAGAGCTCGGGGATGGAGGAGACGGTGTGGGAGCAGTACACAGTAACTCTGCACCGGGTGAGTTCATCCATCCGATGTTAAAACAACATACATCCATTATTTCAACAACCTGCAGCACAGCTCAGTCTTAGCTAACTTAATCGCGGTAAAGACGACATTTAGATCTTAAAAAATGTACATGAGCAGCATCATAAAACAGAAAATCATCATGTCTTTTTACTGAAAAAATCTGTATTTTACCTCCGCTCCAGGCCACAACTTGACCAACCTAAAGAATCCACATTTAATCACTTCTTAACATAACTCATTATTTCTCCTTAATTAGAAGAAACGGTGTCCTCCATCGGTAGATTAAATCTCCACTATGTCTCTGAGGTCAGATTCCTTCTGTGCAAATTAACAAATCTAAAAATAGACCCTCGCCCCCGCCCCCCTGACCCCAGCTGACCCCGCCTCAGGCTGCTACACCACTTGCATGCACCCCAGCAGTCCTGTCTCTGTGTGTACAACTAATGTAAAACATCAAATTTAACACAAGAAAATAAATGTTGTCAACATGCTCATGAGAAGAAATTGAATGTGCAGGAATGTGGAAATGTCACAGACAGTGTTTGGTTAGTTTTCTGCTTGTGGCAACAAAAGTTGAATCAACCCTCAACCTTTCCTTCTGCATGACACATCATGTGTTTACTATTTTAGTATTTAACCAAACCAGTAGGGAGGTATGTGTGGTGTGAGAGCTTGAGATCAGGCTCAATGCGTGAGAGTTGGCAGCCCTGGTGAAATCCTTCAGTCTATTCAATCTTCCATTGACGACATGCGGCGTTATTGTTGTTTGTTTGTTTGTACTGACAGCCAAACTTGAACTTCTACGCTATTGATTTTGATCTGTGATAAGGGGAGTTACTGGAAATGTGTTACAGTTACAGTCGCTAGTAATACAACCTGTATCTGAGTTACTGCTTTATAAAAGTAACTTACTTTATGAAGTAACTTTGGCATAACTTTCTCTGCTTCAATACTCATATTAATGTTCACATTATTTAGTGTTGCTGTGGCAGTACATGAGGAAAAACTCTCACATTCAAATAACATTTTAGACATTTTCAATATGCAGGTATTGTGATCATTGGTTAACTGAAGGCAACAGACTCAACAGTTGATATGAAGCATGTCGTCAACAACATACCTACTATCAGTGTGTTTAGTCGTGGCTTACAGATCGTAGAGCTGGTGGTGATTTAAAATCACGTCTCGTCTGTTTGGATGGAGTTGATCCTCTTTGGTCTGCTGAGCTAATGTGAGCTGCTCCTGCGTCTCCAGGTGTTTACTGCACCGCGCTCTGTGACCGCTAGTTTAGTATAAATGTGTTGTTTAGCTTCCTGCACATGGACTACATTGAAGTTGTTTAACTGGAGCAAGGAAAAGTCATGTATGTACAGTATTTCAAAGACGGAAAGCTCACGCCTCAATGATCATCAGCGTGTGTTTACTGTGTGATATTCTTTCTATATGCTACTGATGTTAGCGTAACCTCACCTGTCCAATCGTGTCAATAAGCTTTAATCTCGTGTATCGACTACTTTAAATAAAGTAATGAGTAACAAGTGTTTTTTAAAGTTCTGTAATTGTGATGGTGTTATTGAATTTGAACAGTAACTAGATAAATTACCGCACATAGCAGTGAAGTAACAGTAACTCTGACACTGCTTATCATATTACCTTAACCGTGGAATGTACTGGCAGGTGCTGCTTTTAGTTTTGTGTTTGGAAAATGAGTCACTCATATTTCCTGTTAGGTGTTGCGGACAGGGGCATCGTCTTCCTGAATAACTGGTTCATTCTTACTTCCTTGCGGCCTGCAGTCTTCTCTCAAAGCTTATCTTCTTCTTGTGATAAAAAGCCACATGACAAGATGAAAGAACACAAACATGCTGGGACGGTTGGCTGTGGCAAAGCGAACCGGACCGCTTGGTGGAAACGAGCCTTGAGTGTATTTGAGATGCCCTCATCACAACTTCACTCGTTCCCTTGTTGGATACAAAGCTTCACTGCTGTGTCACCCTGCTAAAGCTAATTTAGCATAGGTTTATATCGTTCATAAGTACAGCACCACTGCTGGTGTCACTTTGTTTTTCTTCTGGGCTAGTTGTAACAAAAAATTATAAACCAGCCCCTTTTTCTTTAGCTTGGGAACAGAAACACCTGGTGTAGTGAAGCCTTTACATCTAAATCCCTCCCCCAGATAACTTCAATGTTGTATATTAGTCATATTCTCTCTGTATTTTCTGACTGAGTTTCTTCTTCCTGCAGGATTCTAAGATGGGTTTTGGCATCGCCGTGTCAGGAGGGCGGGACAACCCCAACGTGGACAACGGAGAGACATCGATCATCGTGTCAGACGTGCTGCAGGGAGGACCAGCAGACGGATTACTCTTGTAAGTCTGATGGAAAGATTTACGGGGAAAGGATTCAGTGGATTTCCTGCCCTTGACTGGTTAAACCGTGTTAATTGCAACCTTTTAAACTCCCAGTACTGGAAATTAAATTCTGTCCAAAAATGACATTTGATTGCCTCTAAAACATACAGTACAGCTCTGAATAAGAAGTTTCTGAAAAAGCCTTAAAGTCAAATTGTGTTAAATGTACTTATGTTATATGAGCTGAAGGTATTATATTTGTCTGAATAGATGCCACTTCTTATGGGATGCATCAACGTGGTTGCCATCTTGGAGAGGAGTTGTCCCACCTCCTGTTTGAAGATGCTCTATCCGCAATCAAAATATTTATAAGCGTTTATAAGTCGCTGAAATCTGTTTGCTTTATTACAAACTTCAGACATATAATTATGACAGTCTGATAGCCTTTAAAACACACATGCTACTGTGATTCACAGAACAGTAACCCTAAATAAGATTTTTCATTCAAGCAGTTCTCCTGGATCATAAATACATGTTTGACATTTGTGACAAAACAAACAGCTTGAAAATTGTTTCACATTTCAGCGACTTATGAATATTTTAGTCATGGGTAGACCTCCTGCTGTCATAGACTTACGAGGGCGCAGTCAGCCCTCTTACAGTTGGCAGCCATCTTTATGCTTTGGTGCTGTGAACAGCAAGCGACATCTACGTGTATATATCTATAGTTGCATAGAAGTGAAGGTCATTTAATCAGTTATTTTAGTAGTTTTTATTGCCAATATTATGTCAGTGACAATCCCAACAAGCCATGAATGAGTCCAGGACAACACATGTTTTTACTATTAACTTTGACAGTGTTTGTTTTTCTTAATTATATATTTTTTTTTCATGCAGTGAGAATGATCGAGTCATTCAGGTGAACTCCATCGCCATGGACAACGTGCCTCATTCCTTCGCTGTGCAGTCGCTCCGGAAATGTGGAAAAGTGGCCAAAATAGTGAGTACACAATAACACACAGGGAGAAAAAAACAGAGTGTCTGGTACTCATAAATGTTACACGAATATACAAATATGAAGGGTCCTCACGAGGAACTTTTTTTAGGGCAGAAACCACAACAGAACCTCATAAATGAACCATGACAGGCAACATGTGTGTTCTTGTTTGAGCGTTGGATGTCTGAACGAGTCTGATGGATGTTCATAAATATGAAGAAACGTGTGAACATGTGTGAACAGCGTTCCTTCCCTCCATACCCCTCAAAATCCAACACTGACTGCACAGCTTTTAGAGGGTTATGAGTATTAAGAAGCCATATTCTACTGTTACTGCAAAGTTTTAATAAAGCAGGTTGCATTCATTTCTATTCAAAATATTGATATGTTAGATTTCCACACAGAAATGAGCAGTATTCCTTTAAATCTTTATCTTTTTAAATTATGTAAGCAGGTTCTATGATGTGTAACATGACAGCTCATTGTTACCTGTAATCATTTTCATAAAATCAAGAAAGAGTTCTGTGAATGTATGGAGAGGTGCAGTGGTTGGTGCTGTCACCTCACATCAAGAAGATACTGGGTTTGACTCCCTGGGTGGGTGGGTGCATTTTGCCCTGTGATTGGCTGGCCACTGGACCAGGGTGTACCCTGCCTCTCACCCAATGACAGCTGGGATCAGCTTTAGCCCCCAGAACAGGATAAGCGGTTTAGATAATGGATGGATGTATTGTTTTTAAAGATGTGGTATTGATAACATGACAGTATAACATTAAGACAACCTTAATGAGTTCTGGTTTGTGGAAAATGTTTTTCTGTCTTTAAATCAACAACTGCTAGTTTTCCTAGTGTCTCTGTGTGTGAGGGTTTTGTGTGAGAAAAAGAAGCATAGTGGACTGATCGCAATAGCGTTTTGTTATGTTGACGCACCAAACATTTAAAGGAACACATATTGTGTGATTGTGTTTTAAACATGAACGAGGATACCTGCCTGTTTGTTTTTCATCAATGTTTTTTGTTGCTGATTTGCAGGTGGGGTTTGAATTTGTAACCCAATTTACCTTTTGTCAAATTCAGTGAACATCTCATTAGCCAGCTAGCTGTTTGTTTGCACACATTTGCCCATTGGCTCTGTCAATTGTAAACAAACAAAGTGACTAGAGGCGAGCAAAAACAGGATTGACATGAACCAATCAGCAGCAGGTGGTGTTCATGCACTCGGCGCTCTCCTGGCTTCTCCCTCCTCGCCCTTCTCCTCACTATGACAGCTACACCATGAAAATAATGATCTGTGAACAAACATGTTACTGCAACTTAGCATTAAAAGAACCAACTTAGCACCCACAAAACACGTCATCACTGTCCACAAACACAAAAATGCTGAAATCAGTACAAAGACAAATAACCCAATGGAGCTAAAACCATAGCTTTACTTAACTGTGCATGTAGACGTACTGAGTGACATGGTGAAGGGGGGTGAGAAAAGGAGGAAGGGGTTAAGGAGCTTAACTGTGTGGGCCCCCTCCCAAAGCTGGCTGAATGTAGTACACTGTCTGTTAAAGTGTGTGCAGGGGGGTTTAGAGGACTCCTGGGCACCCCACTTCATGGGGTTTATGTTGTCTGTTTATTTTTCCTGATAACTATGAAGGCAAACTGCAGGGTCTGTCTCAATGCTGAATGATAGTCAGGAGGCAGTGCTGCTGGTTTAGTGGGGAGACTTACTGTAAATACAGTGTGAAGGTTGCATTGAGGAGGGGGAGAGGAGAGAGGGGGGAGGAGGTGATAGAGTGAATGAGTCAGAGAGAGAGAGAGAGAGAGAGCGTGTCCTGCAGGTGTGCAAAATTTATAAATCCAATTATCAACATCCCCTTCACAGGTCTCAGCAACAACACTTACTGAAAAAAGGATAATGTTGGTAACCTAGCAACAACATCAATTGAAGAAGTGATGTTAATAATGAGGATGTTATTAGAACTGACTTTTGTAAAGTCATGGAACAATCCAAACAGCTCCATATTTAGAGAGGGAAACAGAAAATGAACTCTTGTTATTGCCTTCACAAACTTCAGCTCAATAAGGAAATACACGACAATAATAATAGAAACGGAAAGGTAACATTGATAATGACGACAATCATAGCAGAGGTTAAAATATGAATGCTAGTCACTAAAGAAGTCAGTTACAGAGGACAATTAATTTATAAATATTTTAATTTTGTTTCTATTATTTGTGCAGAGTTTTTGCAATAGGCTCAAATAATCTCTATCAGTTAATCATGTAATTAAAGGGACAAACTTTCTAATAATATACTTATAAATAATCTTTTTGTCTCCCATATAACAATCAGCGTCTGCTGTTCCTTTAACCGCGTAAACTGTTTTTAAAGGCTTAAAGAAGACAAGAGGGCCTGAAGTGAATTTTCATCACATTTATGTTGCGTCATAAATAAAGTTTGTTTTGAAGAGAAGGATGACAAACTTTGGATTTTGCAGTGGGAGCTGACACTGGAGAGGAGAAAGTAAAGGAGAAAAACTGTGCAGAGGAGTGACATTTGGTATTATCTATAAATGTACAGGGACAGATAGTGTGTGTGTACGTGTGTGTGTGTGTACATGTGTGTGTACATGTGTGTGTGTACATGTGTGTGTGTGTGTGTGTGTGTGTGTACATATGTGTGTGAGTGGTTTTAAGTCTCCTGCACGCTCCTGTCTCTGTTTTCAGGCTTCTTCTCACGTTGCGCTAAAAGTAGCTTCTCTCCGTGCGTGGACTGAACTAATCTCTCTCCGCTCTCTTTCAATTATAAAATCTGTTAAATATAAAATCCTGACATGTCGTGGACAATCAGAGTCCCTTCTTCTCTCTGAACAGTCACATGTGCCCGAGTTAGACTTATTAACCATGCAGTGTTAAGCTGTGTCTCGTCTCTTTGTTGAACAAACTGAACACAGAGACGCTGCTTTGCCTTTATTTTCCACATGTATGAATGAGCCGCTGTGTTATTATCTTTTGTTTATTTATTCATTTTAAGATTTATTTTTGGGCCTCATGTGCCTTTTAATGGAGAGACAGGACAGTGGATAGAGTTGGAAATCAGGGAATGACATGCTGGAAAGGAGCCACAGGCTGGAGTCGAACCTGGGCTTGGAGGAGCATAGCCTCCATACATGGGCTGTACGCACTAACCACTGAGCCACCAGCGCCCCAAGCTGCTGTGTTATTTTGAAAGTATCAACTACAGCTTCGTAGCATGAAGCAGTTTGTCAATATTTTGACAAACTCAATACCCCATGCAGGTTAAACTGGGATATTTCCCGGAGTAATGTGTCTCCACATTCAGCACAGGCATGTTAATGTTAACTTACAAGGAGGACCGAAGGCTGGTGGTGCTAGCACTGCTAACGTTAGCCACACTTGGCTAACCAGTTTGACATGAATTAGCAAATTCACACTCGGTCTGAAGTGGTGGGAATTGAGCAGGTGGACGAATCTGGACCGTCTCAACAGAAATCTCTCCTTTATCATATTATACATTTTTGTATTATAAGCCATATTTGATGTTGCTATAGTTACCACATCCATTGTTTTTTAGGTGTATTTAACATGATGCCACTATTTATCCTTTGTCCAATTTTTTTGTGACTATTTATTATAAATATTAAATTGAGGCACCACATTTATCATCTTTTTATTGTTCTTTTTTAACACATATGCTGGTGTAATTCAGTCTCTACATTTCATCCATGTGAACCTCACCTCTCACTGCACCATGACTCTTAAACCCTGCGTGGTTTGAAACCATTCTGTGTTTCACCTGTATATTTTTGTCACTTTTTTTTTACCACTTGCTTATTAAAGGATTTTTTCTATCTTTACTATCTATTTTTGGCTCTTAGTGATATCGCCTGAAGGTATTCCAGTGGCTTCCTTCTCTCCAGATTTAAATCAGTGTTTCCCAGCAGTTAAACAGTCCAGTTGTGGGTTACTTTAACCTTTTTTTTTTTTTCTTCCTCTGACAGACAGTGAAGAGACCTCGTAAGGTAGCGGTCCACTCACTGAAGCAGCCCCCCTCCCCAGACGGGGACAGTCGGGATTACGCCCCCTCCACCCACTATTACGACGCCGACAACGATAACGGCTGGTACCGCAGCGAGGGCCGCGACCACACCTCTGACAGCAAAGAATACCTGGACCCTGATTACATGGGTGGGCGGGACTACAACACAAGAGGGAGGAGCCGTGGGAGGAGCCAGGAGAGGACATCCCCCAGCCCGGACAGGTCCAGGAGGGACGGCAGCCGGGGGCGCGCCCTGGACACCAGCGCGGACCGTCAGAGGTACCACAGTCGAGGACGCAGCCCTGGAGACAGCTATCGTATGGAGGAGAAGTACGAGCGAGGAGAGGGAGGAGGAGGCAAAGGAGGGAGGTACAAGAGCAGGGACAGACTCAACGAAACCCCCCCATCCCCAGAACCTTCCAGAGAGCTGGAGCCACTGGAGAAACCCGTCAACGTACTGCTGGTGAAGAACAGACCTAACGAAGGTGAGGGAGGAGGATCGACTAAAAAATTCCTTTTTAGTTTTGTGGCAGAGATTCTGAGGCGGTTCTTGATGTCTCTGCAGATTCATTCAGTGTTTTTTATGGGGTGAGTCGGATTTGTAGCCATGCTAGCTCTTCTTGTACATCATTTTGGTCATATTTGAATTTAAAACTACCAGCTTTATTGGCATGATTTCTCCTTTTTACATACTTGAATGGACTTGTGTGAATGAATACTTCTGACTTTTCTGAAGATGCAATGCTATTCTCAGGCACCAGAAAAAGTTCACCTTTGTTCAGACTGTTTAGAAGAAGAGGACGTACTGCATCCTCTTAGTTCAATCAGTAAACCAAAGTAGAAACGTCTTAAACCTGCATTCTTTCATAAAGCCAGCAGGGGGCGACTCCACTGGATGTAAAACAACGGCCTGATTGTATAAAAGTCTAAGGCTGCATTCACACTAAAATCCTTCACGTTCAATTCAGATGTTTTACTCAGATCAGATTGTTTTGTTCACATTACTTTTGAAAGGTGGCCCAAAGGAACAAAGACAAACATGTTTGACGCAGCACGCCATGACGAGAGATTATTTCATAATCGAGTTATGATCTGCAAGCTCCTGCAGAACAACAAAGTGACATCCTCTCCTTGAGGTAACTTCATGGTTAAGGACTATGAAGGCGGTTTACTTCTAACCCGGCTAGATCACCATGGCAACTATTATAGTAACTTTTGCTGAGCATATAACCAGCTCAGCAGCAGGTCATGTTCAATGTTCAAAATAAGAAATCAACCTGTATGAAATGTTTTTTTCTGTGAGTTGATCGTGAGGAGGGAGAGAGAGCCACAAACGTGCTGTGTTTCCCGTTATTACTTTTCATTAAAACATTTTGATCTGGCGTTCTGTTATTTTTAGGGATGTGTTCGATTAAAATGTGACGATAATTCTTGTCAGTGAAAGTCAAAGTGAATACAGCCATCATGGCGGAGTCTGATTTTGAAGTGGAAATCCCCCCCCCCCCAAACACACACACACACACACACACACACACGTACACTGTTTGTGTTACAGCTACTGGAGAGCAGATCACAGCTGATCAGTAGTCTGTTCAGATCACCCCCTTACAGTTCAGGCCGGGGTGTGAAACAAATTTACTGCTGCTTAATCTCTGTGCAGAGTCTAAGTAAAAAGAAGAGCCTCTGCGTTTAATTACTTTGTGTTTGTGCCTCGCTGAACAAATAAAATAGACAATTCAGTCTTTTAAAATGTGCTTTTACGCAAGTTTGTTGCAGACTATCACACACAGAGTCGGCTCATAAATGAATATTTCTGTGATTACTTGTTACTTTGATTAATAAGCTGCTTCCTATTTTCTCCGTTAAATCTCACGTCTGTATTTATCATGCAGATATCAGCTGGTGTCAGCGTATAAAGTCAATCAGAAACAAGAAACTTAACGTCAGTAACGTTACAGCCTGTTGTACTCTGCAGCTGTAAAAAAAAAAAAAAGAAAAAAACTCAACTGTTAGTGTTGTGAAGATGAAGTTCCTAACAAACGTTCTCTGTGTGTTTTGTTTGACTCACACACTGCATGCGCAGACACTCACATCCACAAAGTGAATGGTGTGTGTGTGACACGTGTTCAAAACAGTCAAAGCTCTTATGAGAAAATAAGATCACAAGAAGAGATCACAAAAAGAATTCTGTCGATAACAGCAAACTTGTTATTGACAGAAAGATTTCTATTTAGTGTTTGTGAAGTTGATGTCCCTGATGGAGGAGAATAAATACCGTTATTGAAATGATGCAGCTTATTAGATTTCAGTCCATTGTTGTCAGATTTTAAAATAAATAGAGAGTTGTGGTTTATCTTACTGCTTTTATGTTTATTATTGGAATGATAGCAGTGAGTTTGTAGTGAAGAAACCTGAGGATGTGATACATTATTAAAATGTCTTCTTATCTTGCATCAGTGTTAAACTTCTTCATATTTTGTTTATATCACAGTTTGCTCCGCGCTTGTAAAATCCCTCCCGTGCTGCCAGAGAGTGACTTCAGAGGGTTGTGCATTCGTACCTTGCTTTAAAGACTGAGGTCACATCGGACAAGATCCGACCTGTATTTGGTTCACATAATAAGTGGCACAAATCTGATTGGAAAAGATTAGACTCCATGTGACTTCAATGTGCTGTTCACTCTGTCATAAAAAATCTAATCTGAGTCACTTCTGCCTGCAGTGTGAACACAGCCTAACAGAAATAAAGGTCTTACTCCTCAGATGATTTATTCCATCAATAAGCATTTTCCTACTAAGTCACTATATCTTAACGCTGTGTTCATGCTCGGAGGGTCAATTTTACATGAGTATTAAATAATTTGATCAGTTCCACTCTCACTTCCTCTTCTGTCAAATATTCCTTTCACAGCTGTTTGCAGTAAATTTGTTGTGTTGGTTTGTGTTTCTGTAGAGTACGGTCTGCGTTTGGGGAGTCAGATCTTCATCAAACAGATGACAAGCACCGGCCTCGCAGCGAAGGACGGAAATCTGCAGGAGGGAGACATCATTCTCAAGGTATACATATATACACACATTTATTCATACTGAAGACGCACAGTCCCACCTACACAGATCAGCACAGAGGTTCACATCCTGCAAAAATTCCATAAACTGCTTTCATACTTGCAAAAAAGCTCCTTAAGTTTTCAGACTGAGCTTTTTCAAGATTTATTTTGGGGATTTTTGCCTTTATTTTGATAGGACAGTGGATAGAGTAGGACATCATGAGAAAGAGTGGGGGATGACATGCGGGAAAGGAGGTACAGGTCGGACTTGAACCCGTGTCGCCCGCTTGAAGGACTATAGCCTCAATACATATGGAGTGACCTAACCGCTCGGCCATCTGTTCCCCAAACAGCCACATTTTTCACAGTAATATTGACCAATCATGTACCAGCAAAGTTTACTCTGGTGTATGCAGGAGGAACAGACTGTATGAATCATTAAATCAGAGTGATTCCATGGATACAATTCAACTTTGAGACAGAGAGCGTTTTTTTATTTTCTTTAAGATTCAACAAAACCCTTTTAATTTGTTTGATTAATTCATCCTTTTTTAAAGTAAACATCTGATAGAGCTGAAGTTACAGATAAAACAGGACTGATGAGTTCTTACTGTGTTTCAAAAAAAGGTTAACTAAAGATAAATTGACATCAGGATGATATAAAAAATAAGACGTAGGTCAAGTTGTGTGTGTTTGTGTGTTTGTGCAGATCAACGGGACGGTCACAGAGAACCTCTCTCTGCACGATGCCGGGAAGTTGATCGAGAAGTCGAGAGGGAAGCTGCAGCTGGTGGTCCAGAGAGACCGCCGTCAGATCCTCGTACGCATCCCCCCCCTCGCAGACTCTGACTCTGATAATGACGGTGAGTCCCTGAATGCACCGCCTGACCAGCAGGCTCAGTGTGTGTACTGATGGTCCTGTGCTATAACAGGACAGGTGTGTTCAGTGTCTCCCACAGACGTTGACAGATGTTTGTCACGATGAAGGGTCTGTTTGTAACCTGGACTGTAACCTTTGTTTTCAATGAGTATGTGGCCTAATGTTACTGAGCTTCTCATAAACAAGTACTGCTGCATGTAAATGTAACCAGACATCTGTGGGACACACTGGATGAAGCAGAAACAGAAGTTCAGACTGAGTTGTTGTGTTAAAACGAGTCAGCTACTTTTGGGATACAAACAAATATTTCACACTATTTTTGGTCCTCTGGAAACCAGAAAGTGATCAGAATCTGCTCCAAGCTGTGGAGGCTCAAGTGTGTCACTGGAATAAAAGCAGATTATTTAGGATCAATAAATAGATTTAAGGTATTCTTTAAGAGATTCAGAATTGAAAGGGACTGGTATAAAATTAGTATTCATGTACTCATCTTCCATATTTGAAACTTATTTTTGCAGATGCAGGTTTTGATTTACACATTATGCATTTTTTTAACCTAATAACAGAAAGCATAATGTCTCTTTTAAAGTGGAGTTAACGTGGGGTGTTGGTAGTGTAGTGGTTATTGATTGGCCTCATGTATGGAGGCTGTAGTCCTTCAAGCGGGCGGCCCAGGTTCGAATTCGACTCATGGCTCCTTCCCACATATCAATCAATGCTCTCTGACTCTCCCCGATCTCTGACTCTATCCACAGTCCTGTCTCTAAATAAAGTCATAAAAAAGTCCAAACATAAATCTAAAAAAAAAGTGGACTTAACATATTAATATTCCATCACTTAGTGTGATGCAAACATTAAAGGAAGAATGTGCGACTTTTTGATCCAGTAGATGTCGCTCTTGAGCACCAGCATTAAACCAAAACAAACTGATGTTTGGCCACACCTCCGTCATACTGAAGCCTCCGCTCTCCTCCAGCAGCACACCTTTAAACCCCCTCACCTCGCGTTCGCACTAAAGAGTCAAGCGCAAGAGAAATTAGAAAAAACTAACTCAAAATAGCTCATAGTCATGTATAGTAATGCTTCTTACATTACTGATATATTTGATTAATCGTGATTGATTATTCTCAAAATTGCAGTTAATTAGATGAATGTTTTGATGGCTTGACACCATATAGTGTCAGCTAAAAGAATTAAACTCTGATCAGCCTGTGCCACCAATTCGCTCGTTTCTGATGGTAAAGATTAAACAAAGATGCATGCTGAAAACTGTCTAAAAAGAGTTAGGATTCTACCTTTGATCTTCTTTGAAATGTTTCAACGATCATCAGAGTACTTACTCAATGAGTCACAAGAAGAGGTGTAAACGTTTGTATTGAAGGAGTACAACTGTGGAGAAATGCAGCAACCATAGGGCAGTTGATTAAAAATGATTTAATCGTTTGATTTCTGTTTTTAATCAAGTCACGCACCCAGAAACCCACGAGTATAAAAATACTAGACAGAAAATACTCATTGTACTCGTATTAATTTCCCTAAAGACTCTCTGTAATTAACTCAGGCTCTCTAAGAACATTAAGTCATTTATTTACGCTCTTACACAAACTCAGGCTGCCATTAGAGATTTATTTTATTTCATTACTCTGTTTAAATCTTTAACAATTAGATGCTTCAAAGTCTTTTTAGCGGTTATACAAGTTGACAAATAAAAACTTACAACAGAAGTATGTATTTTTTTTTTTTTACAACTTGTTTTTTTAACAACATCATTAAAAACATCATTACTTGAGATGAATACATTTTAATTAATTGAATTAAATAGATTTTATATGACGGGGACGATGTATTGTAGCCGAGTTCTGATACAAAGCATGAAATTGATGTGTTGCTTTCGATCATTTTTAATTCTTGTCTCTAGTTTGGACTTTACATGAAATTAAATAAACTGCATTCAGAAAACATTATGCCACATAAAAGTATGAATGTTAAATTCACTTGATGAAATACAAAAATACATAAATACTAAATCATCCCTGCTCTGGTTTGCCTTTTTAGCCAACACAAATATTTTATACCTAATTTTAATTAACCAATAAAAACCTGAATAATTATTCTTTGTGACACACTTGAGCCTGCGTACAAACACATCGTGTGATTAAATTGCCCATGAGCTTTGGTTGAACTAGTTTCTCGAGTCATTCAGTTACTATCATGTTGACATGTACATCTAAAAAAGGTATAAAAAACAACAACATTCAGGCAGCTAAAAATACCGAGTGAAACCAAGCAGTCTTGAGTTTCTGGGTGCAGCTGCTCAGAGAAAGAGAGAGAGAGAGGGAGAGCGAGAGAGACGGAGAAGAGAGAGAGAGAGGGGACGGAGAGGGAAAGGAGACAGAGGCAGACAGAGAGAGGGAGACAGAGAGAGAAAGTTGGGTGGCAGAGAGCGGAAGAGAGAGATAGAGGGGGAGACAGAGAAGAGAGAGAAATAACACCATCAAGTCAGGATTTATTCAGACTCAAAGTCCTGCAGACGATCATGTAGAAATCTGAAAGTGCTCATTTTGATTGAGAAGTGCTCATGTGGAGCAGCAGCAGCGATCCCTCCCTGTCATTGCTCAAAAGTGCATCTCTGTCTGTGTTTTCTCTTCCAGATAATGTGTCATACTTTTAGATGAAGGACCAGCCGAGACACATGATGTGTAACAATCTGTTGCCTTTCACTAAGCTGTCAAACGGCTGACACACAACAAGTTGTAAAGCTTTCACACCTTTTGCACTTCCCTTTATACTGCTTCAAATCTTTAACTTTTTTAATACATGATTCATTTTTCCTGAATAAATAAAAATAAACATTTTAATCACTATGTACTTTGAATTGTGTGATTCATTAAGAGTCGACGTTGAATAATGCCAGTGAGAGAGGTCTGTAAGCTTTGTTACTTTGTCTGAATATTGAATCCTGATGCTGCACATGAAGGGTGATGATTTATTTTTGTGAACACAGAAAGTTGCATGACAAAGCGTGGCTCATAAAGTGGGTAAGATGTTTGTTGAATATCAGTGTGATAACATATTAATGATTTGTCCTAACAGCGTAGAAACTCGCCGTTGTCTGTCCAGGTGGTATATCTGATCTCCCGCTCGTCCTCTCCTCCTCTCCTCCTCGCTGTCTTTTGTCTGTATCTCCATTTCACACAAACATCCTCAAATCACGCTCACATCTCTCCGCACTGAGCGGTCTACTTTAACACGCAGAGGGCTGACACCTGTTTCAGCCACACCCTAACTCCTCCCCTGCTTTCTGGTCTGACTCTAAATGGGGCCATCATTTACTGAGTGAACATCATGCCATGTTGGAGAAGAATTGAAACTAGAGATTAAGACATTAACTCATTAGGAACATGTTAACTGAGGGAATTAATCAACTGACAAGTAGGACATTTTATCATCTATAGAATAACATTTCTTTATGCGACCAGTGAAGTCTAGGCACTTCTGCTTCTGCCTCCTTTTGATACAAAGAAGCTCAGTTAATTTCTTTGTCGTTGGCCTGCATTAGCTTACAATAGGAGTTACTACATGCAAAGTCATACAGCACCAATAAGGCTGTAGTAGAAAAACCCTGAGGTCCTGATTCATTAAAGTATTGTGCAGCTTTTGTGCCAGCTAAACCTGTGCAAATAAGTCAAAAGTAATTCACAAAACATGTGCAAAGGGTTAAATGTTCCCCTCACTGCGCTGTAGAAAAGCATCTCTGTGCTGGTGCTGTTTGCACATGTTTCAATGAGCCATTACGCAGTCATTTGGAAAAAACCTGACCCTTTACTAAAAAAAAATCTGCCTCATTGCAAAGAGTGTCCAACAGACCATGACTAGTGCTAGCAGCCATGGGCAGTTAGAATGAAAAAATTATAATAAATTATTGTCTGCTGTGAGTTGGTGGTAACCGCGCTGCAGTATTTCTAAGAAATACAAAATGTGAATATTTTATTTCTATCTTGATAATTCAACATGAAGAAAAAAAAAGAACACAGTAACAGAACATGAACACAGCACTTGTACGCACTTCAGTATTTAAGTGTCTACTCTCAGAATGTCTGACGGATCAGAAACGGAAGTCTTGAAGGGTCAGATTAACAGGAAAATAAAATGTAATATACTAAAAAGGTCATCAAATTAGACTCAAAAAAATTTAAATATAGATTTTTATCCTTGTCATTTGACCATGGTATTAATATTAGCTCCTACAGTTTGAAAATAACCCACTCAACTGAGTGTAATCCAGGGTTAGTGAGGTCAGAGTTTCAAAATGTCAGCTGAAAATGTGTTCTGAAATTTGACCGCACATGCTGCAGATTTAGCTCCATGTTGTGTTACAACGAATGTGCATGAAATAATCCTCAGAACTGACTCAACACAGTCTGAGATATGTGTCTCTTTGCTCTTAGTAGATGCAGAAGGTTACTGTAGATGTGTAAAAGGGAATATATATAATTAATATAGTTCTAATTGAGTTTAATATTTAAAGTTAGATGTTGCACATTACACCGATATGTCTCAAGTACTTTTCTTTTGGTGCAGTTTTTATCAGGACTATAGAAACATTCTATTAAAATCTGTTTTCAACTTTAAGATTTACTGAATAAAATGACCACAGTATTCAATGAAGTCCAGCAAAAAATATAGTTAAGAACCAGGTCAAGGAAATGACCGTGTTGTGAACCAACTGAGGACAGTGTGCGTGCGTGCGTGCGTGCGTGCGTGCGTTGTTCTGGCTGTCTGCTGGCTCTGGCAGGAGATGAGTAGTAGCCGTTCACCTGGAAACACACAGATGCTCCTCTTCCACACTCAGTAGTGACTATGCGTAAAATAACCATGAATCACTTTAAAGTTAGAGCAACAAACTCCACACAGGGTGGATGTTTCTGCAGCTCTGGCATTAAAACACGGCAAGAATTAAAGTGTGAAACCAAACACAGCAGCTGCAATAATAACTTCAGCCTACTGAACTAAAGTGTCTATGAAGTGGACAACTTGCTGAGGAATAAGCAGTTGCTTCAAAAGGTTTTTAATTTAATAGATTGCTTCGGCCAGCAGCAGTGAGACATGCTGTTAAAGCTGCAATGTAATCCTTACATGCATATGTGCCTGATCAGTACTTCAACTAAAAGTTGTTGTTTTTCTGATTGTTACTCTAAATGTCTGACAACATTTCAGAAAGGATCCTTACAGAGGTCAGCCTCAGTTAAAACTATGTCAGCTTTTTGTCAATGTCGCTTGTCCCTCACCATCCAATCGAAAATAAAGATAGGACTACCTTGTCATCATATAAGCTGCCTCTAGAGGGCATAAAGAGAGAAACACAGTTTTGATAGGTGTTGTTTCTGACATAACATTTGCACAAACCCCATTTGACAAAGTATCCTGACATCTGCCTTCTTCATTCTCATCCTGTCTTACATTCCCTGCCTCTCGTTCTCACTTTACATTCTGTGTTAATTCTGTTTCCAGTTCTGCATGCAGACTGTCCTCTAACTCTAATCAAACTAATTTACACGTACTAGACTTTGCCATGTGAAACCGGCCATGCCTCTCTGACCTCGAACTGCTGTTCAATGAAGGGTAAAACAATCTGCTTAAAGCCATGAAGCACTGCGACAGTCCTGTAACGGTGACCGGAGTTGTTGGCTGTTAAAGGGCTCTGTCATGGCGTTATGTTTTCTGTTTTATTGCTGCTTTTTTTTATTATTCGCTCTCTTTCATGTTGTCCTCCCACACCTGAGTCCTCAGATGTGTCTTTTGTCTCCTGTTTCTCTGTTTCTTCACCTCCTCCCTCTCTGCAGAGCGCTGAGCTGAGTGCCATGCTCTGACAGATAAAAGCAGCTACATCAAACACTCCTCCGCCCGTGTTCACTTTCAAATGATAAAAAAAAAAGAGAGTGAATGAAAGCTGGGCAGTCTCTGTGGAGAGCAGAGCTGTGTGTAAGCACTTTTAACCAGCTTGTTTCTGGGTTATAAAGCAGTACGGATGCTCTCATGAGCCCTGAGACGTCCTCATGGATCCCTGGAAAGAACTTCTAAAAAGTTTCTAAAAATGGATTCACTCTTTTGGGCTTGACTGTGTCCATGTATAACTACATAATACATTATAGATAGTACTTATGAGCAACAATACTTCAGCTAAAGCATTCAAAGTAACCACATCCATCCACCCTTCTGTCACCATTTAGCTGAGCTAAGGTCACAATAGACCATATTCCCATGATGGCCATGTTCCTGTGACATCATGCTTAGGGTGGGAAGCTCAAATGGTGCTATTATGTCATACTGATATATTCCAGGTTGTAAATCATATAAAGTTTAAGATTCTGACAACTGTCTTAATTTCACCGCTTCCGGATTGAAAAGAAGCTATTAAGTCAATGGATACTGAAAATCCAAAGAGAGATCAGACCACATGTCATGGTAAAAACAAATTTGATTACCTATTTATTAGCTTCTTTTAGCGTTAGCATTTAGCCACTTGGAGGTGGTTAATGCAGGTAGGGAGACCTTTGGTAGACCCAGAATATGCTGGAAGAATTACATATTTTATCTGGCCTATAGAAATAACTCTGCTTGAAGAGCTGCAAAATGTTGCCAGGAAGAGGGACTAAGTGGGCTGACTGGCTTATGAGGCTACAAACACAACCTGGACCCTGATAAGAGACAGAAAATGGATGGTTGGATGCGTAAATGAAAGCTGATTTTAAAGTGCACCAAAACTAATCTGAACCCAAAAATTTAGCGATTGGTCTATTTCCTTGATTTGTTCTTGTCTATGAATTAGTGTGTTGGATTAAAGGCTGCTTTTATCTTGAGTCCTGAGCTGTTGCACCAGAGATAATATCTCAGATAACACCCTCAAACTTTCCCAGGCTGTAATGAGCTGGTGTCGGGGCTTCCTGATGGTGGTGGTTTTGGTGGTTTTGGTGGTTTTGGTGGCACGCTGTCTGGTTTGGGGTTTCATTTGAAAGATGTCTGTGTGTCTAACTGAGATATCCTTCTGTTTGTTTGTCCGTCTGTCTGTCTGTCAGACATCTCAGAGATGGAGTCTTACCATTCATATTCTCCCCCAGAGGAGAGGAGATCGCGTCAGTCTGACCTGTCCTCACACTCGTCCAATGAAAGAGACATCCAAAGGTAGGACGGATCAGCTTTAAAGACCTCTTATCTTACAGGCTGTCTATTTACAAGACTGCAATCAAATTCATGCTAGGATTAACTCCCATAAAGCTACTCGTGGAAAGGTAAAAAACAAACAATGAAACAGAAACACAGCTGGCCTCCTGTGTGCAGTGATTTGTTTGAGGCTGTAAAGCTGGGTTAGCATTTCAGGCTAGCAGGCGGCAAGGGGGTATTACAATCTTCTCTTCATTATCTCAAACTTACACTGGAGGTAACAACTACTGTGCTAATATCAGTAGTGGTTTGTCATAAGAGGCACAATGGTCCTTGCCCCATCCAACATGGAGAAAAGAAAGTTTATTAAACATGTTAAACATAAATTAATTAGACGATGAGTCAGCAGTCATTATATTGACTGTGAATACATTATACTTCATGGTCATGGTGCACCAGAAAAAAGAAGAGATTGCCTAACTTTTGCCAGCCAGGTGACCCGAGGCTTCTCTCTTATTGGCTTGTCTCAAGTTTCCCACTGGATGCAGCTCTCTGCGCCTCCGGGCACTCCCACTTTCATTGGTAACAAATGGCCTTCTAATGTTTTTACCTTTAATGTAACCTGGATCACTCAATCACCAAACTCTCATCATTATTGTGACACTTGTGACACAGTATTTGTCTGCTACAGTAATGTAGCTTATGAAGTCATTGGGTGTGTTTCAATAGGGAAGATTCCATGAAAACAGCCAAGATGTCCGCCATGGCCTCCCCGTTCAGAATACCTGAAGACCCCAAAGCGTCAGCGGAGCTGGAAAAAGACATACCGCAAATCGAGGAGCCTCCAGGTGACCACACACTATCCTCACAATAACATACCATACACTGAAATAGTAATTATGTATAACTGAATGAGCTGAATATTAGACAGCTCCATGTTTGGACACTCTCAACAGTAACACATAGTCAGATGTAATGTTTGTAAATGTAAATCCATGATCTCTTACATGTGTAATAAGGACATCGACCCAGAACCACAGTTGGCAATATGTGGGGTGGTTTGGAGAGATCTGCTTCTCCCCCGAGCCAAAACCTGCACTTTGGCCTTTCCATCATTACTAGCAAGGCGTCTAATTTTGTTTAATTGGAAGTCCAACTTGCCTCCTTTGTATAGCCGTGGGGTCAGTGATGTCTTGGCTCATTTGAAGATGGAAAAGCTCAGATATACAACTCAAGAGTCAATCAATAAATACTATAAAGTGTGGGACCCATTCTTAGACAATTATAATAATGTCTTTTCTTTAATAAATGAAATTTATTCCTATATGTGCCTTCTACTGTAATGTTATGGGATTTTTTATGGGGGGGGGGTTAAAATATTTTGGATATTGTGAGATGATGACATGTGTGTTTCATGTTTGTTTGAAAATAAACAATTAAAATAACTGAATAATAATAGATCACATCAATAAATAACATCGTGGACATTATATGCCTGATTTAATGTAAATCAAAACCCTGTTGGGTAACACATTGAGAATGATGACATTTTTATGTTTAACTGATAAATGTAGGTCAAAAGGATCACCTTATTCTTTTGACTGCTGTGAAAAATATTTCCACAGAAAATGTCAGGTTTTTAAATAAAAACAAACAATCAAGTCAAAACAGACTAAAAACCTCAGCAGGACTCAACCGGACTACAGATTAGATTAATTTATCTGAAAGTCTATTACATCAAATTTAGCCTCTCCTATAAAACACACAGTTTGTTTTTATTGTTTGCTGGTGTGAAAAATAAATACAATTAGTTAGTAAGGCTAGTATGCTCTATACTTCTTTATTTTTTAATAACACATACTTTTAAAAAGATACACTCTCTGTTATCTTGATGATCTGTATCATTATCAAAAGGTTTTTGGAAAAATGCATCTATTTCATACGACAGGTGTTAAGTCCCACCTGGTACTTATTGCTTATTTTTTTCCTTTTTTATTATCTCTATTCTATTCTTATTGTATATTCTTCAATTTCTTTATATATTTCCTACTGCTATATTGGGTTTAAGAGCAACTTTAACAAACAATTAATGAAGTATTTCTGATTGTGATTTTAAGGAGATGAATAATCCTTCTAAAATTTCTGGCAGACAAGTGTGGAAGTCATTTTTTTTAATAAGTGTGAAAAGTTAAACAGCTCTGGATGTACTCCAGCAAGGTTCTTTATTTTACTGATTAAAAAGCTGCTTGTTTCTGATATTTGACACACCTTTCAGCTGTGGTTGTTATACATTGTTTTTTATTAATATTTTACCCATGTTAAACACTGAAGTTGTATTTATAATTCTCACTTACCGGTATTTTATTGTCAACAGCTGCTGTGACAACCACACCAAAGATTCTCCTCCGGCCGAGTCCAGAAGATGAAAAACTTTACGGGCAAGTTCATGTCTTTTCTCTTCACACTTCACTGTGATGAACATACTATGATGTTTCTTCTCGCTTCATATTTTTTCAGAATCAATTATATCACTGTCTTAGGGTTATTTTCTTCACACATACACAAAACCCCAGAGGATTTTCCGAATCGCCTGAATTTTTTCACTCGACATTTCCTGCCAGCCCTCTTCAGTGAAATTTCCATTTCAATTCTAGGTGATCTGATGTGTGAGCGTAGCAGGAAATATTCAGGAAAATTCACCATGAGTGAGTGTGACGGTGTGATGATGTTTAAATCCTGAGACTGTGTGACTGATGCGATCTTTGTGCACGTAGTGAAGCTGTTTCAGACTATTTGACACTCCAGTATGTCCTTTACACCTTTATGACGTGTGCTGCTGCCCTCTTGGCCAGCTCAGACTTGTGAAAGAGATCCTGATCTCAATGGGTTATTTACCTGGTTAAATAAAGATTGAATAAAACAAAAAAAGAAATGACACTCATTTATTCTGTGAGTATATAAAAGTAGCAGAACTGCAGATAGACAGACAGATGCAACAGAGATAGTGCAGATACTTCAGGGTATAGCTTTTATTGTGGCAGCTGGGGGGGAAAGGGATTTACAGCATTTTTTTCCAATAACCGATTACTCTTATTAAAAAGTGATTAAATAACAGATTACCTGAATTGCATAACTAGCATATAATGTTACTCGTTACAACAAACAAACAAGATTTGGATTACTTTGTAACAAATACTGGTGAATAGGAGGATGTGTGGTGAAAAAATAACAAGAAAAATAATCTAAACCAAGCCAACAAAGAGAGTCCCTCTTAAAGGGAGAAGATATGATGTTATGAGTTTTATGATGTGTTTTGTAAATGATCATCCGTCAGTTTAAATTGTGTCTGAGCTGCTAACAACAGATCTGAAAACACATTATGCAGATACTTCCTGGTTCTAAGTGAGAATAAATGGCATTTTGAAGATTTGTTCTGAAGCAGCCTGATTACATACAAATTCAACTAAGCAATGCAGATAGATGATATTTGCATCATATATTTGATCACATTAATCACATTTCCTCAACAGAACTTCATTAAGAAAAAAGCATTTTCGAAGCATGGGTGCTGTCTGCAGAGGAGTTACATGAAAGAGCGCGCTCTCTTGTTGGTCAATCTAGTCCGCATCATTAATGACAGCATGTTTTTTTCCCTCCCACAGGCCAAACACGATAATGGTGAACTTCCAGAAAGGAGACAGTGTGGGTCTGAGGCTGGCCGGAGGAAATGATGTCGGCATCTTCATCGCCAGTGTTCAGGAGGGCAGTCCTGCTGAGGAGGAGGGGCTGCACGTCGGAGACCAGATCCTAAAGGTAGGCTACCACGTCCAGACACAACTTCATTACATTTGACATTCCCATGAAAAACATTAAGGTTGTATATGAATCCTCTTTATTGTGCCGTGCAGGTGAACAACGTTGACTTTCAAGGTGTAGTGAGAGAGGAGGCGGTGCTCTTCCTGTTGGAGATTCCTAAAGGAGACGTGATCACCATCCTGGCTCAGAGCAAACCTGACGGTAAAGAACTCATCAAAGACACAGAAACACAATTTCATTTATTACAGTAACAAATGAAATTAGGAACATGATTTCACTTGGAGCAATAACAACACTGTTCGCCCTTTGTCTGTACAAAAACATCTATCACTCAAAAAAAACACTCACCACTGAATGAGTCAGCAAAATGAGACATTCTGCAGACACAAATGAATGAAAGAGAAACACGAGTTAAAGACTCAAACATTTTATAGTGAGAGTCATTAGAATAAGGTTTTGTTTGTGAGTTTATACCTCAATCCAAACATCAGATCCTTATTCCTCCTCTTCACTGGGAACCAACGGACTCCGAGCTGACTCTTTGTTTCTTGTAGACCTTTTTAACACGTGGGATGAATTATCATGTGACAGTCTGAGCTGGTACTTTATGTTTCTGTCCTGATGACATCTGCTGTGACAGTCAGGTCAGACGGAAAGTGTTCATCAGAGCAAGATTGAAATGTTCATTTGTACTTTTCTGCAAAGTTTCTGCAGCTGTCACACTCCGGACCACCGTCCACCTCTCCCCCCCTCCCCTCCCTCAGCTCTCTCTCTCTCTCTCTCTCTCTCTCTCTCTGATGTTTAGATTTAATGAGCGAGGTACCAGCTTGGTCCCCTAAAGGCCTTTAGACCAGATCAGGCTAGTTCCGGTTCAGCCATCCGTCACACACATGCAGCCACACAGTGACACAAACTGTGTTACGTAACGAGCACGTCGGCCCCTTGAGCCTGTGATCTTTATTTAAAAAATCTATTAATGAAAAAAAAACACATAAAACATGAAGCAGAGCAGAGACCTGGCACGAGAACTCAGTGACTCGTCATCGCCTGGTGATGATCAGAGGTCGTTTAAGGGTCATCAGAGTGTGCTGGCAGGTCTCAAAACTAAGATGGTGTATGTGAGATTAGAAAGGTGAGAGGGACAGCAGGACATCTGGGGAGGGGGGGCTGGAGGTCAGTGACGTAGAGGGGACCATTTCAAAGTTCAACCCAGGATCTGATCATCTGAACACGGGCCATGTAGGATGCTCTGACCCCTGGATCCTAAAGCTAAAGGAGTGCAGAGCGGGAGACCGGAGGCTGGCGGTCTGCGGGGAAGGTCGACTGAGAATCAGGCTCAGCTGACAGGAAGGAAGAACGACAATACACTTACTAATCTGAAAATCACTCAGTAATGTTTGTGTGTAGCACAGTTCAGGTCTGTGATAAAACATGAAAGACGTGAACTTTAACCTTTTGATGAAGCTTAAACATGTGTTTTAATACAGACTGCGCTAAAACACTTTCAGAGTAATAATCCTCAAAGCACATGTGACAGCACGGCACAATACGTCTCTGTATTTCTTTGTATTTCTTTGTATTTCTTTGTATTCCGCTCACATGATTTTAACGTGTTTTTTTTTTTTTTAAGGTCATATCAGTGAAATCTTTTGTTTTATGCATGTGATCAATGTGAGTGTGTGATGAAAGCTGACTGTGCGTGCGTGCGTGCGTGCGTGCGTGCGTGCGTGCGTGCGTGCGTGTGTGTGTTTGTGAGTGTGTATGAGTGTGCAGCAGCAGATTTTAGTCAGTGTGACTGTTGCCTCGGTTGGTCCTTTTGGGTCAGCGCTCTGTCCGACCTCACATATCAAATCATGACTCCTCACAGGAGCCCGGAGCGGACTGTAAACTGTATTACTATGCAACAGTCACTTAGATATGTGCATGTTGGTGTGATTGTGCAAATAAGAATGAAAATAAAATGTATTTTTAGCACAGGAGTTCATTTTTGACCTTTAAGAACTCGGCATGTTCGAAACTAATCAACAAACACAGCTCTCGTGATCTTTCGCTTGCTCTTCATGATCTTCTTTATTTAGAGAATGAAAAGACTGAGCTGTCCAGGGGTTACTCATGAGGACAGTTAACATGCATGGGGGGGGTGGGGGACGTAGTAACAAATGTGTGAGTTTAAGTTAACAAATCAAAAACCAGTCACAGCATCAACCGAAAGAGTTGAAACAGTGAATGAGACACTAATGTAGGACATTAAGGAAATAATGAATCCATTTGGGACTATTTCCAGCAGTGTAATAATCCATTTTAAGCCGTTCTCACATACTGTATAAACTCCTGAAAATATCTAGATAATTTCAGGGGGACTGCTCCAGATATTCTCCTGACCTGGCTGATCACATGTGCTTCTCACAGCTGGAGACTATCCCTGTCTGACAGAAGGGGGGAAAGATTTCACTGTTTGTGTCCACACATACAGCTCCTCTGGGAAATATTTATAAAACATTGCTTCACCTCTCCCTTTATTTTTATTTTAACAGTCTTTATTATGTTTGTGTCTCCTTAGTCTACAGTGATATCTTGGTGTCTGGGCGCGGGGACTCTTTCTTCGTCCGGACACACTTTGAGTACGAGAAGGAGACTCCTCAGTGCTTGGCCTTCAGCAGAGGAGACATCTTCAAAGTGGTGGACACCCTGTACGACGGAAAACTTGGGAACTGGCTCGCCATCCGTGTCGGGAAGGAGAAGCAGCTGCTGGAGAAGGGAATCATCCCAAACAAGAGCAGGTAGGGGCCTGCAGCTTTGTTAGCTTCCTCTGATATTGTTTAAGAAGCTGTGTGTGAGTGTGTTTGATAGACACATTGGTTCTTTTCTTTTCTTTTTTGTGTGGCTATTGCCTTTATTTGATAGGACAGTGAATAGAGTAGTGAACCACGGAGAGAGAGTGAGGGAATGACATGCGGGAAAGAAGCCTTTTGGAGGACTCTAGCCCTGTACATGGGGCGCGACCTAATCCCTAGGCTACCTGCGCCTCACACTTTTTTTGACAATTTTTACGATCCCACTAGCATGCCCACTTTATGCGATGATAATCTCGATGTCCATAAAGTGGAGACTTCAAAGACCTTCAAAGAAGAGGAGAAGTCAGGGAGAAACATAATGTTTAGAAGCCTTTAAGAAAATGAACCCATACATCTCTCTTGATTTGTTCCCTCAGTAAACCATAGATGTAAAAAAGTAGATGTCGTGTAGCAGCTGCTGTTCACAGGAACAGGTCGTCTATGCAGCAGACATCTTGGAGGGGGATAGTCACGGCTCATGATAACTGTAAGTCTATGGCCCGGGGGAGGTTTATCGATAGTTAAAATATTCACAAGTTGCTGAAATGTGTTTCAGTCTGTTTCAAGTAGATTGTTTTGTCACAAACGTTCACAAGATTAATGTGACTCTATAAATGGAGAATCATCATAATTTAACCGAGTATCCTGGATCATAAATACATTTCTGATGTTTGTGAAAAACAAACGGCTTGAAAATTGATTCACATTTCAGAGACTTCTTAATATTTCAACCGGGGATATACCTACCGCCTTCATTATGAGCCACAGCACCAGCTTTCCAAGATGGCAGCTACATAGACGCATCTCAGAAGACTGGAAGCGGCATTTATGTATATCTTTGTCAGTAAACAAAAATGGTCTCTACGGGGTGCAGTTGGCTTAACAGATACAGTAGTTTGCACCCCATGTACAGATGCTATAGTCCTCTCAAGTGGGTGGCCCGGGTTCGAGTCCAACCCCCTGTTTTGGAACTTCTCCAAACAATCCAGGTGCGAAAAAATGCTAAATGTGTGAGGTACATCTTTTACAATCTGGTACCGATTCACCACCGCTCCTTCTGGCTCCAAAATGTTCATGTTCACTGCTCAGAGTTCACAAGTTATTCTCAACATGATAATCTAAAGCTTTATGCTGATGAAAGAGGTTTGGAGGGTAGATTTAAAAGAAGAGGAGTAGATCTATTTAAAGATCCTTTGTGAGGTATGTTTGTCTATAGACTAAAGAGAAACCTGCCAAATCAAAAGTGGCTCATTTAGTCCAGACCTGAGATAAAGACTTAAAGCAGGTACATCATGGTGCACTAACAGGCAAATAATAAATGGAGCTGAACAGGTGTGTTTGTCCCGTCAGGGCGGAGCAGATGGCCAGCGTGCAGAGCTCTCATAAAGCCGTAGCCGCCGATCGAGCAGACTTCTGGAGGTTACGAGGTCAGCGCTCTTTGAAGAGGAAGGACCTGAAGAAGAGCAGAGAGAACCTGAGCACTCAGACGCTCGCCACACGCTTCCCCGCCTACGAACGAGTCGTGCTTAGAGAAGGTGGGTGACGCTCCTGTTTTGATCTGATCCTCTTTGTGTCCGTAAAATAGTTTCAAAGGTTAAAGGATTTGCCACTGAAACATAATTTTCATGAAGGGAATAGAATTGATGACATTTATTTCTTTACTGTTACAAGATGTTGTAGTGCACTTGGCACAGTCTGGCAGCAATAAACATCTGAACAATCAGTTTTATACATATCTATGTAGATAAATCCGTTTGATTGATAGTGTTTTGTGTCTTTGTGTGAGTTGTGTTCTGCAGCATTATAACCCACATCGTGTTGTTTCAGCTGGTTTCAGACGTCCCGTCGTTCTTTTCGGTCCCATCGCTGATGCTGCGAATGAGAAACTGGCCTCTGAGATTCCTGACCTGTTTGTTATTGCCAGTGAGTCTCTTGAGTCTTTTTCTCCACGTTCTTCTGTGTCAAAGTGAACATAAGTCTGAGTATTGCATCTATTTCCTGTTTTTTTTTGATGCCTTTTCATCAGAAACGGAGCCAAAAGACGCCGGCTCTGAGAAATCCTCAGGAGTGGTTCGCCTGAACACCATCAGACAAATCATCGAGCAGGTACATCCACATGAAATGTCAATATACCACTATTCCCACTGGATTAGTATTACCTGGGGACCTCTGGTAATTTAGGAATTACTGTACCCCCTGACGTCAGTGCAGAACATACGCAATGGATTAAAAAGTGGGGGGCTGAGGGATGAAGGAGGTGTGTCCAGAGACACATAAAGTGTGTGTTTTGGTCTGACAAATCTGCTCTGAAAGTCACTTGTCAACAAAATGATCAGTCAATGAAAATGTGTTCCTGCTAAAGAGATAGATATATGACGAACCTGTTCTTCACATCATACAGGACAAGCACGCCCTGCTGGATGTGACACCCAAAGCTGTGGACACCCTGAACTACACCCAGTGGTACCCCATCGTCATCTTCTTCAACCCGGACAGTAAGCACGGCATCAAGGCCATCAGGCAGAGGATCGCCCCCAACTCCAACCGCAGCGCCCGTAAACTGTACGAGCAGGCCGTCAAGCTGAGGAAGACCTGCCCGCACCTTTTCACTGGTACAAGCACACACATAAAGACAGTCGTTTAGAGAGTTTGCTGATATAAAGTGTGGATGATAAGGACGGATGGTTTTCTCATTTTCTCGTCCAGCCACAGTTGATATGAACTCCGCCAATGACGCCTGGTACGGCAGCGTCAAAGACTCCATCAGAGAGCAGCAGATGCAGGCAGTGTGGGTCTCTGACGGCAAGGTAAACACACACACACACACACACACACACACACACACACACACACACACACACACACACACACACACACACACACACACACACACACACACACACAGTTGATTTAACCAGGGATAACCAGGCAGTAAATCCTGCTGTGAGGAGCATTTTTAACCTATAATGATTGTTTCAGTTATATTGACTTATTGACTGACTGATATCTATCCAAGTGGGTCTGCCATCATTTCTTGTCAAAAATATCTCATCACACCTGTCTTGAAAAGAGACGCACAATCTTATCTAAGACAGCAGATCTCATTTAAGTAAAATGTTCTTGCACCATTGGCAGATTTTTAAAACTTATTTTCTGTCTTTTAAATCTTGAAATAAGAAGTTCATATGGACTTGTCAGGTGACTGTGGCTTATATTAAGTGTAATGGGATATTTTTGACTAGAAGTAAGACAAATACACTTGGTTAGGTTTGAGATTTTGCAGTGCACTGCTGCAGAAATAGACTCTTTTAATGTTTGTCAACCGAATTGAGGGAAATGTTCCTCCACTGTGAATATAATATAAAAGAGAGAAAGAGATGTTGCTATTTTTGTTGCCATGTTATCACATGGTATCAATATTGTTTTTTTTTTTACTAGAATCGTATCAAAGCTTATAACTCTGTTACTTTGATAACCCTGTAAGAAACCATTAAGAAAACGAAGGGAGGATGTAAAGCAGGACTGAGGTTATGACATCTGTTAGTTTGAAGTGTTTCTGATAAACTGAGAGTGTATCATAGTTTTTCATAGTTTAGTTTGTAAAAGGACTGAGCGCCCCTGAATCTACCTGTCCCCCTAGCAGCCACCTGTGTGTGCGCTCTGAGCATGCTGACTGTGTGTCTCTTTACCTCCTGCCAGTAGTGCTCTACAGCTCGGCTCTGTTTGTCTTTCTTTCTTCTCTCTTGTTCTTGTGCTATCCGTCTGTCCATCCTTCCTGCCTGTACACCCAAGATCCACCATGTGTCTCTTCTAGCTGGAGGGAGTAGAGACTGATCTGGACTGCCAGGACGTCGAGCGCCTGTCCTTCCTGTCCGCCATGTCGGCCGACTACCTCAGCATGGACAGCCGGCTGGCATCCGACCTGGACGACACCGCTGACGAGGGCGGGGCCTACACCGACAACGAGCACGACGCTGAGTTGATGCACATCTCCGCCATCAGCCGCTCGTCTGAACCTGTCTCAGCTGAGGAGGTCAGGGTCACATACACACAAATACACAGACACACACACACACACACACACACACACACACACACACACACACACATACAGACACATACACACACTCACACAAAAGTAGAGAGCAAAAATGGCCAACCTGTTTTCACTCCTGTCTTTTTGACTTTGAAAGAAGTTTTAAAAAATAGTTTGCCAGGATGTTTTGGACAAGTGAACTGTTTGTTGTTGTACTACTCATTTTGGCCACAAGAGGCTGAAGTGCTCCTGTTCTTAGGAAGAAAAGCTTCTATATTTTCTTCCAGGTTTGTTTAGAAGATCAACATAAAGTAGAAGTAAAGACACTCACACTCTCAGGAGGTGCTGCCCTCTGCAGGGAAAACAGTAAAGTACTGTAAAGTAAATGGGAAAACAAAGAGTGGGACCCAAATGAAGAGAACGTATAATATTTATTCTAACAAAAGGTAAAAAGGGCAAACAAAAACTTACTTTGTTTCTAATGCATACAAAGTCCAAAAAGTCCAGCAAAGAATCCAACAGGAGAAACAAGGATTATTATAGAAATTATAGAAATTTAAAAAAGCAATTATTTTCTAAATTAGAGAGATTATTATCCCCCAATATGTGTCTAAACGACACTTGAGTCACAACGTGGCGAGCCTGTGATAGGTACAGTACATTTATCGCTTGATTTTTAAGAGAATTGTATGGAAGTTTAAAGTCGTGACAACGCAGTCAGAAATAGTGTCACTGTCATTTCCACTGACCATTTCATTTTTTCTTTGTGTGTGTGTTTGTGTAGATCTTGCGCAGGTACAGTCCAGACATCAGGAGTCGAATGAGGAAGATCAGCAGTCAAGAATTCCTCAGCAGGTCGAGCCCTCCACATGTCTTCTTAACGGACAAGGTGAGACATGAGGGGGGACGAGACACTAATACCCTCCTCACACTGTTTTATCTCATGCATCGAGACTCGTCTTTACTAGGGGACAATTCTCATCTCTGAACCACAGTCTGTCTGAACCTGCTTTATCACACTGCAATTATATAAGAGTCTAATATCCTTCATCAGATTCATTTTTTCTACTTGGGATGACTTGTTTCTCATTAAAAGCAGTGAGTAGCTTCAGTAACTCTGCCTCTAACCATCACATCCTCCCTGGCAGTTATTTTCCTCCATCCAGAGGAACAAACTGTCCTTCCCTCTGAGGAACGGCCTGACTCGGAGAAACACGTCTCACTGCAGTTCAGATTCCTCCAACAGCAGCTCATTGGACCACAAGGGTACCCACAATCCCCCTCTGTAGCTGGTGTAGGGTGGTGGGCGTGTGTCAGTGGTGTTCTACTTAAAGCTCTGTTGGGGTTTTTATTCCAACAACAAATCACAGCAGCTGATTTTCATGACCTTTGCTCCATAACTGTTTAAAGCAAACTGTGAAAGTTGTTGAGCAGCTGCTGCTCAGTTGGAATAAAAACTCCACTTCTTTATCAAACTCTTCTACTGATGTGTTCTCTCATAGAAAGTTGTTTTATAGTCTCACCCACTGATCCACATTTGTTAGTTTAGAAATAGATGTTTTGATGTTTCAGAATTTTCTTTACTTTTTGATACCATGTGTTTTAAGGTATTAAAGGTATTTGTCAGGTGTGCAGGAGTTTGTCTGACATTTTTGTTAATTAACAACAATACATTGCTCAATATTGGGTGCCTATGACTTTTTGTTTTGTTGGAACTGGTATTTATATTTTTTTATGTTTTACTAGAGTCATATCAAAGTCTAAATTCCTGCTATTGTGTAAAACATGACCCTGTGTACCAAAAACCAATCAGTTCTACACCCAGACTACACAAAATCTAGACCCCTTAGCCGTCATACTAAAGATTGATCCTGAATATTATAGAAAATGTAGATTTTTTCTAAATGGTTCCTTCTGCAAAACCATTAGAAACAACCTTTTTTTCCACTTCAACATAAATATATGCCCATGCTCAAAGGCACTGCTTTAGTTTCCTCTGTCCTCTGCCTGTGGGGGGAGGATTTCCATGAACTTGATATTTACTCATAATGAACTCACTGGTTGTGGTTTTATTGTCTTTTTGCCAAGATTTATGCACTGAGCTTCATGAAGCTGAAGATGCTCCAAAGACTGGGAGAAATATTTAAGAGAGCTTTCAAACTTTAGAGGTTAAAGCACTGACATCTGAATCTCATGTTCAAATAAATATAAAAGAAAATGTAATAGTAAACACAAACCTTCCTTTTGCGTTTATCCTGCAAAACAAAACCCACAACGACGATGAGATTAGTCCTTCTCTGTTGGACATATATGTATCACATGTTTTAGTACAATACAGCGGCAACACAAGTAAGTATCTGTGCTTAAGAATTGAACTTAGCTGGAGTTCAGGACAGCAAACTTTATCCAACTATTATTATTTCAAATATTCTTTCAAACCCTTTTAAACATGAGATATAGAGATCTCTTCTTAAACTGATTGATAGTTACTCAACCCCAGCATACAGTATAACTCCTGCTCACAAGATGTGTAATGTAACGTGCAAAAACCTTTGTTTTGTTATTGATGCATCTTAAAGGATGCCAGAGATCTAGAGGAAACCTGCAGTATTACAGACCCCTGATAAAGAAGGGGGTAACTGTGTCATTGCATCACTCAGACGTGTCTCAAAGCAGAATCATTTTAAATATTGAGGTGTAATCACTGCGGTGTTAAAGGGATAATCCTGTCAGTGTTTACTGTAAAATCATTTTTGCTTAAAGACCAAATGAAAGACGTTAAGCTCAGTGCACCTCATGTGGACATCATGAGTGTTTGCTCGCAGTGGAAGCTGTGTGTCATCTGACAACTGTTACTATCACTCACTGAATGTTCTGCTTCTGACCCCAACGTTCAGGTAAAACTTTCTCTCAGAGACACTCCTGTCCTCGTATCCAGCTCCACCAACCCACACCTTCACCACCGTCAACACCACCCGTCACCACCCAGCTGCAGCAGAAGTTATGACTCTCCGTCCAGCAGCAGCCCGGCCAGCAGCAACAACGACCCCCCGCCCCCAATTTCACGTTCAGCCGGCTTCTCCGGCCCGCCACCCCCACCTCCACTCCATCACTTCAACTCCTGCAGCAGTCCGCGGTCCCTAGGGGCCCCCCAACTTCCCAGCAGCAGTAGGAGTATGGCGGAGATGGCGCATCACTCCCCTGCAGCTCTGCCCAGTGTGAACGTAGCCGCCTGCAGGCAGCGGGCAGAGGACAGCCCGGTGGACGATCCGTCCATGAGGACCTTCCTGGGAAAGATTAAAGCCTTTGAGAAGCTGGATCACTTCGCCCGAGCACAGAGGATTCTGGAGGTCCAGGAGGCACACAATGCCAGGGTGAGGACTAAATGTTGCGGTAGCTGCTTTCTGTTTACCCAGGAGACACCTGTGTTCCCTGGAAGCCAATCATAACTCTTCCTAAATCTAACCAAACTGTGACCGTTTCACTAAATGAGACAAATTAGTCACAGTTTGGTTAGATTTGGGAAAACTGGACTTAAATGGTAATCCATATCTATATCAAACAAACATCTCATCTTGCTTTCTTATAACAGTCAAAAATATCATTCATCAAGAGTCTTTGAAAATGTAAAAAAAAAGTCTGTTTTGGCAGCGTGCAGTGCACAACTACATCTGACACCTCCCCCACAACAGTTTCAGGCATTCAAATGTACTATATACAAATAATAAATGTAGTTTCTGACGGTCTATTTGGCTGTTGTAGCTCATAGAGGGACATCAGTATAAACTTCAGTCTGTTTCATAACCAGCTAAAAACTCCCCTCAGTAGCTTTAAAGATGTTTTCTAGTTGTGTAAAGAAAGTGTTACTGCTACTTTCTAAATCCAATCCTGAGATTACTAAATGTGAATCCCATTTTAGTATCTGTAGTGATAAGATCATTCTTACAGCATGCACAGTTGGTTACATCCCATCTTTGTTTGCAGGTGGAAATCGCTCAGAAGCATCCGGACATCTACGCCGTTCCTGTGAAGACGGCCAAGCTGGATCACAGTCGTCCTCAGCCTATCGGGTAGGCTCACTACTGCCATACGACTGTTTCCGAGCTCCGCTGTGAGTTTTTGTCCAAGTGTTTGTGTGTCTGTTTGCAGTGTTTCAAACACATCACTGACAGAGAGAGAGAGAGAGATCAGCAAGTGCAGGATGAAGACACATTTCAGAGTTAACAGCCAGCAGAATACTCTTCAGATTTCAGTCCATGTTACTCAAAACCCACTGCAGTTAATAAATGTTGCTGAATCCTGCAGGGAAATCTCTGGTTTCAAGTCTTCCCCAACACAGCATGATGTTCATTTAGTCAATTATGGTCCCATTTAAAGTCAAACAGACCAGAAAGCAGGGGAGGAGTTGTGGGAGGGGCTAGCAGGGATTGACAGGTTTCACCCTGTTGTCCAAATGCCACTTCTAGATCAAAAACAAAAACAAAGATGGCAACAGCAAAAATGCTTAACACCGGTTTAAAAACAGGAGTTCATAACTTAATGGCTGGCTATTACCACTTCTTGTGTTTTTGATGAGATTTTAAAGATGGATATCTGAGGCAAACTCCACACCAACCCATTAGTAGTTGAACATCTGTACACCTGTTTATGGAAATCCATCTGATTTATATCTTCTTCTTTTTTCCATAGGTTTATTTTTGAGCTTTTCATGCCTTTATTTTAGAGACAGGACACTGGAAATAGTCAGAAATTGGGAGAGAGAGAGAGTGGGGAATGACACGTGGGAAAGGATCCACAGGTCAGACGAGGCTGCCGCTTGGGGGTACTTTATCCTCCGTACTTGGGGTACGCACATTGACCAATAGGCTACCAGCGCTCCCTAGACATCTCTAGAGAGCATAGTAGGCCACTGAGGCTGTATACAACTACCTGATGGGTGGGATGTTAACAACAGACATGCTACACTTGAGGAGGTTACTGTTATGTTCATTCTCAGATCTTAACTTAAACATCAATAATCAATAGTAACATTATATCAGCTCTGGAGATGACAGGTGAACTTGTCTGTACAGTCAGCATCCCGTCTCATTAACATTTTCCCACAAGGACGTAAACGTCCCGGTGTATCAGTTTAAAGAGTGACCGTGTTAACCAGTGACCTCAGCCAAATGCTTCCATAAATAAGAAGTATTTACAGCAGCTGAAGAAAACAGATAGTGTCCTCTCGGATGCATCTTTGTTTAGTTTTAATTATAATGTCACAATATACTCATCGTATATCAATTAATGAAAAACTAAAATACAAAAACAACCACGGAGGCACTTGGTTGAAAGTCGCCACTTCACAGAGTGACTCATTGAACCAAAACACCAATATTGTTTCCACTAGTTTTACTGGTTTCCATGTCGACCTTAAAACAGAACAGATCTGTTGTCAGCTAGTTTGACAGGCAGTGACAATCACACACATCATACAGATGTGGATGATTGTTGACCTCGTTCCTAAGTTCCTAAGACCTAAGTTCCTGCTGCCGTGTTGACTCTGTCACATCCCCTCTGCCTCCACACTGCCCCCTCCCGCCCATGAGCATACTGCTTATCACTTCTGCGTCGCCCTTGTATCTCGAGGATGCTCACGCCGACATGCCAAAAGGTGGACAGGGCAGCCATCGTGCGTACGCATACACGTAGTTAACAGCTCGTATTTCTCCACCCTGCGTGTAGCTTATACTGTTTTTTCTGTCTCCCTGCAGCTCCAGCTCTCATTCGGACCCCCAGACTCCTCCTCCTCATCTTCCTCCCAAAGAGCGAAGTCCCTTCTACCATGGCGAACAGGAGAGAGTGGATGACACAGGATACTTCAACGCCAACTCCTACCAGTACCAGGACACTGAGCTGTAGGGTCTGCACACCCTCAGCCCCCTGGACCAACATGTACCATGCACTGCTGCACATGAAGTCTGTTCACACACTAACCATTCCATCACGTCTGCACAAAACGCTGCTGACTTTGAACTGACTCTTGCTTCTTTAGTATCGACCTGAAAATAATCTTTCTTTCTTTTCTTTTTTTTTGCTTCAAGGAAGTCAAAGCAATCTGTGCTATCCGTTTGGATAGGAACACACTGTCTACGCTTTTATGTTCGTTTTGAGTGATTCCTTCTTATATACAACTTTAAATGGTCCAAACTGAGTGACTTTGGAACCACTTGTTTTCTTGCCTATGCAACTTTTTCAGTTTGTGCACAGCAACTGAAACCTATTGCCACGAGTTCTGTCCTCACAAAAACCTCAACAAACCCAAAAACCCACAAAGCGCTTTATCACATCACTCCCTTCTTTTTAAGCTCCTAATATTGCCAGCCATGATCGACAAAGGTTACGTATATATTCTATTATACAGCATATATATATTATATATCTAAAGTCAAGTGTTTATACTCTGTCTTTGCATTCCTACGTATATATGACAATGCAGTATATATCTATATATACATATATATATATTCTATCTTGTAACTCTGGAATTTGTTACAATTTTTTGAAGTGCCTTTTCCTTTTGTTATTCCCATGAGGTTTGGGTTGTCTTTCCTCCGCCCCTCAGCCACCCAGCCATACTTAAACCTCTGCTGCTGTCAAGCTTAAAGGGAAACCAGGGAACCAGTGACACCGAAACCTTAATGCTGTCCCCTCACACTGTACTGTTTGCAGAAAACACACCAACAAAGATACAGTTCACACCCTGCAGCCAGACAGTCTGCCATGTGTAGGAACGTTATGTCTGATCTCTAGAGCCACACCAATCCAATACAACTTCAAACTGTAGAAGTTAAAACAGCCCGCTCACTTAATAAAACCAAGAATTTGGAGCAATAATCAAACAGAAATAATGGAATTGGAAAAATCTGTGAATTTGTTTCATATTTGCACAACATCAAATTGATTTGCAAATCATGCAATTCGTTATACAATTATCAGTTCTCAATTAATGAACTGACAGAAGAATAGATAGTTACATTTCAGAGGTGCATCAAGCAATGTTCTAAGGTTGTAATCAAGGTTGTCAAAATTTTTAACATGTTGATACTCTGCATTATGACGTGTTTTATAATGATACAGCCGATACTGTTTTAATGATCGATAGTGTCAAAAAGTACCAAAGCTTTAAAAAAACAACTTCAGATCTTCATTTAGACATTTTACTAAAAGCTACTGCAAGAGAAGTGTAGAGCAGCGATTCACTCAAAATGACAGATCGACAAATACCGACCTTTCTCAAGACCTTTGAGAGTCTTATGCAATAGATGCAATAGATATGTCTACATCTCTTCCAGTGCTGTGTAGAGGTCGCTAATTAATAAAAGAAGTAGAAAAAATACTTTACATATCTATTTCTTAAGAAAGTTGTGAAGGAGAGGAACGAGTCCATCAAAAATGTGCAAGTAAGCTTCTTCACATTGTTGGAAATTGCACAAATCATGTGAAAGTTCTAGGTACTGATATGTTTTGTGTTCTGAGATGATGTGCAGGAGTTTACCTGCAATTTCAGATGGAATAATTCCTCTCAAACTGTTTATGATACTATCGGTCATTACAAATAAAAGAGATTGTATCCTTTCAAACATGTGGTATCTAAAAGTGTCAAGATCTCAGAAATATTGACAACCTTCATTTATACATGAATGACATTTATTGAATTGTCCCACTTTCTGCTGCGACTTATTCTTTTTCTTTTTGTCGACTTTAATGCTCAGTTTTCATCGCTGGGCTTTTTAACCTCACAGAAGAAAATGCTCATACAAGGATTTCTTTGTCTTTGGATGTTTTGCTTATTATGTTCCTGCAGGTGGCGCCATCTTCTGTTTGTTTAGCTATGATGGCTATCACTGCCTAAGCTAATAACTCTATGAAATGACAAGTTTAGCTGTTTACTATTTGTCTTATTGTCAACAAATCCAGTGTCAAGATGCAAACCAACAATGAGTTGATCCACCTTGTGTTGTGTGTGTGTGTGTGTGTGTGTGTGTCCACTGCAGGGCGGCCATGTTTTGATTCCCTCAAATCAGGAACCTTAATGGTACCACACACTATGTACACACAGCCAAACACTCATGCAAGCACTGCAGCAATTTATTATTTGAGCAGATAGCGAACCTACCAAGTGCAACTTTAAGGGTATAATAAGAGACTTTCAGAGTGTTGCATGTTCGAGTGGTTCCACTTTACCACCAATCTCGCAAACCAAAACTAACCACACCACTTCCCCTCCTCCCCCACCCACTCTCTGTGTTCTGACTGAGTGCAGCCTTTTGTAGGACTGATGTATTTGAGACCAAACTAAATCTTTTCTTCGGATCTTAAATTGTTCTCCAGTGACGCCATTATGCCTCTAACAACAGCGTCCCTTAGTGGGCAGGACCGTCTCTCTTCCCCCCGTAGTGGCAGGGCTAACATATAAGAGAGTTTGACTTCACTCTGTTTTAAGGAAGTCATTACTTAACGATATAATTGATATTTGTTTTATTCTTTAAAATGTTGCATTTTATACTTTTAACCATCATTTTTGCCGCTTGGGTCTGTACAAAGGAAGGAGAAAGCCAAGTGGGACCATACTGTATAATCAACCCCTCAAACCAGGACCCTCAAGTGTACCTTAAGATCTTGCTGGTGCTCTTCCATGTTTATGCACTTAGACATTTTCACAAGAGGGAATATTATTTCAGTCCTAAGTACACCTACTAAATGCAGGGCGGGAGCTTAATGAAGGCGTTAGCCTCTCGTTAGTCATTAGATTAAACTGACTTCCTCTTTGGCATAAGAGCTAACCATTAGCATAATTACAGCTAACCAGTTGCATACTGAAAAACTCACCGTAGCCTGTGGTTGTGTCCGAAATCAACCACTCATTCCCTTCTCCCTACATAGGGAGCTCTTTGTAGTGGACTATATAGTACACTAATATGCAAAATAAAGAAAATGCATGATAGTGAATAATGATTGGATAGTTAGTGACCATCAGTTGTTCACTAAATTTTATGATGCATTATGGGATACAATAAGTGCACTATATAAGTTATCACAATGCTTACTCAGAATTTGGACTTCAAAATAGTGTATTCCCTATAAAGTGTACTTTATAAATAGTGTGATTTCAGACACAGCCTGTGACACTTGACTCAAGGGCTAGCTAGATAACGACAAGTGGATAGACTTACACATAATCAGACAAGTCTGTATTGAATTCAGACCCGCAATGCATAATATGGTTTCATTTGGCGTCAGGTAATATTTAGTAGGATATAACACTGTAAGCACAGAATAAAACAAAATATTTATTTTAATTGTAATGAAACCAGCACTATGTAGTGTTGTGTTGTACAGATAATTATTGTGTCCGTCAAGCCCGCTTCTCGTAATCCAAAGCCTTATCTATTCTTCCTCTGTGCCATAGAGCTCCTCTGTTTTTCAAAATAAAACACAACAACTTAAAAGAACACCAAATGTGTATTATGCCACTGCTCAAAGTAGTCCCAAACATTGGACTATTCACTGCTGCGTCCAGCTGTTGTAAAAAACTATTGAGCCTTTTAAAAAAAAATTAAATATATATTTATACGCTTTTTTAAGTCCTATGTAAACACCTTACCGTATGAAGAAACACACATTGTTGGTTTTGGTCTTTATGTGGATTTTTATGACAATAAGAATAACACAGAGTAACAGCAGACTTTGAATGGAGCGTGTGTTAAGAAGCGACAGAATAAGACAAGAGGAATATCTTGATTTGGAGCCGTTGGATGTCGTGCCTAAGTTTTCACACAGAAACTTGTCAAGATGTAAAAATCTAAAATGCAGGATCCACCTGAAGGCCTTCATCTTGTCATTTGATTATGTGATGTATATTTTCTATTCAAAAACAAATATCACTGTCAGAGGCCCTTTAGTGACATGGATGATTGTGGGCTTTTTCATGATGGCTCTGAAAGTAGAAACAGCTTCTGATCCAATATATGGAGCCACTAAGAGGACATGGGCAGGAAAAATAAATGACGTTTCAGGTGCACAGGAAAAGCTATGTTGTAAGCACCAGAAACTTGAGCACAAGAAAGTTCCACGTGATCACTCAGAAGTATTGTGTGTGCACCAGTGAGTTTCAGTTTGTCTCATAGGATTGACTTACTTGTCTTTTGCCAACTCTGACAACCAGAGATATGTTGAAGAGTTTCATGTGTGCACGCAATACTTTCTCATGTGCACAAAAAACATCCTTGTGAGCACTTAAGTCTTTCTCATGAGCTCCTAAAACTCTCTAGTGAGCACTGAATAACTTAACTCTGATTAGTGAAAATGTACAATGTCTTTTACAATTGAAAAACTTCATTAAGCGCTTGTAAAACTCGAATGAACCAAAATAATTCTTACAAGCACATAAAACTTTCTCATGATCTCATAAATATCTTGTGAGCTCACATGAAAGATTTTTGTGTGCAGGAAAACTTCCTTAAGAGCACACATAACTTGCTCATGAGCACAAGATATTCTCTCGTGAGCCGGGGTTAGTTTTGTGTGTGCGTGAGAAACGTGTATTTGTTTATTTTCAATCCATATCCTTTTAGGGGCTAAGTACCAATCAAACCACAGAGGGAGACATATGATGTTGTTTACGCTCGCAGACATTTCCTTCCACAAAGCTACCAGAAATGGAGAACAGCAAGAGTAAAATCTGAAATGAGCTGGCTGAGTCATTTTTGTATTAAGTCATCCACAGAGAGGGTTAAATCTTATTTATACTCCCATAAGAACCTGTGACGGAGGAGTGTTGATCGGAGGCCACATGCTGTATAACCCACAGAGAACTTGAGAGAGGGACTGTGCGCTCTGTCTGGGTCTTGGTGACTGTGGTTGAAGGGCCTCGGCTCTCTTTCTCTATCAGTGTGAATGAACGGTGTCTCAGATGTTTCAGATATTCTTGATTGTATTTCTCAGTTCACTCTTTACCTCCACACACGAGTTACAAAGTGCTGACTGCTGTTGTTGAATTCTTGTACTGTGTCATGGCAGAGGGTTGTGTTACAATGACGACGAGAGGAATGACTGTTTCTGCTGAGTTTTTCCATGTTTTCACCTTAAAACACCAAATAAAACAAAAGTCTTAACCACATGTGTAGTGAATGTACTGTGATCCTTTTTTACCTGTTAGATTAGTCTAAGTCTGGTCTCTATTAGAAACGTCCTCTTTCAGGGTTACGGAGTGTGTTAAATCAGTGGTTCATTTGTAAATCCTGAGGTCAGGGAGCAGACAGAGAGTGTTGTTTCGGTCGGGCAGGAGGAGACAAAAAATTCAGGGAAACCTTAAAAAAGGCACACCTGAGCATTCACAATAATCACTCGTGTGCATTTCTCTTCTTCTCCCTCTCTCTGAGTGATCAGTTGAGAGAAGTCCTTCCACGTCATATTATGTGCTGCCCGAATTCATCATCATCAAGTGTTCATGTCTGTACTGTATCCCGGGGGATACAAGCATTTGAGAGGCTGTGGGCTGAAGGGGCAAATCTGGGTGCACTTAATTTTATGAGGAACACTGAAGGGAGGTTTAGGTCATGTGACTTTGTGCCGACATTCAAATTCATACAAATCATTTGTGTAAATAAATCCAAAATGGCGGTGTGCTGTGACAAAGACACCGACCATGAACTCAGTGTTGTTATTTGTTCATGTTTCTTAAGAGTTTGGGGGTATTTTGTTTTTGAGACTAATTTTGTAAGGAACATTTGAACAATTTCTTGTTGAAAAACAAATAATTTGATTTTCACTAACTTGATTATCAGGCGTTAAAAGTTTGTATTCGCCCATATTATTTCCTGATTATACATAAAAATGTCTACTCTGTGCACAGGGGTCTGGATTATCAGCATGGGAAGTGTTCTGGTTTACGTTGTATTACGAGCATAGTGACCAATTACGTAGTAGGCTATGATGTATGTGGGACAAACATTATGGACAGCAACAAAACTGACAGAACGTTATCCAACATAGGAGCTCCTATCAGCAGTATTCTGATGATTCATTTCTCTCTATAAACTGATACTGTATCTGTGTTCAAGTGCAGTTTACAATCTGTTCTCTATCAAACATGAGAGTTGTTCCTCTAACTGCTAGCTTCACTGGAATTGTGATGAAATTTGCATCTGTTCCCATCGGCATATATCGTCACAAGATGATAGACTATGTATGCCTAAATCAATATCAATAATTACAGCAAATATGAAATCTTTTTACATAAGTAGGATCATGTTGTTTTAAAACCATAGACTGTAAATATTAATGGATGAAGCCTGAGTGACGTCAGCCATCTGTTCTTGCAGGAGGCGCCGGAGGCTCATCGGAAGCAGCAGCCATGCTGGAAATCCTGTCTCAGCTTAACTTTCAGTCAACCTAACAACAGGCTGAGAGCTGGAGCTGAGGTGGGTTTAAAGCCTCCTGACAAACTGTTACATCGTGCCCACCTGTCAATCATGTCAGGTACACGCCTAACTATGGACAACATGTTATTCTTTCTCAAAACTAAGCCATTTTCTAAACATTCACCCCCGTACAGTGTGTGCCATTGATCACAATAACTAATCCGACTTCTTTCATTTTTTGTACCAGGCTGTAAACATGTTTATTTATGATGTAAAAACATTTCTTTGCCAGTCATGTGTACATGAATTCCGGTGTTCCTTGAACCAGCCTCAAGCAGACACTCGATGAACCTGCATTGGTTTTGAAGACCGGAGGTTGCCGCTTGTTTGAAACCTGTTCATCTTTACATGTTGTGTATAAAACGTACAATCCTTTTTCCTGTTGCAGCAGATGTACAACAGCTGTCTTTGGTAAAGCAGGGAAACCTCCATCAGCAAATTTCCATACATACATGACCAGATCATCCTTTTCTGTCCAGTACTTATTTCTGTATTCAAGATTATTTGATGATCTGAATCGGAACTAAATATTTCCTCTCAGTGCCACCTATCAGTCTTCAGGGAAGCCAGTCTTCTTGATTCAGAATCAAGCATTCATATGAACTTCTGTGTTGTAGAAGGTTGGTAAGTTTCCAAGTCATATAATGCACTACATGTAGGTTTTCATACTGTAGTTTTCACATGACATCACACTTATGGAACTGCCCACCTGGCGGGCACCTACTGCTGCACGAAACGGAGAATTTATCAGTCTCATTTGACTTTGATGATGAAATTCTTGCTTTTCACTTCCCAAGCAGAAGCATTATTCTCCCAGCCCCTTCAAAAACACAGAAAGCTGTCTGTACTTTTGTAGACTTTCATACTGTTGGCAGGGTAATGGGGTGAGTTTTCTAATTGAAGTGACTTTCTGTCAGGGACTTTTCTGGGTAAAGTGATGGAAATAGTGTTGCAGGTGCTGTATAAACGTCTTAATTGCCCAAATCTTTTGGTTCATCTTCATATCTACTATCTGTGGTTGTCAGGTGATGTAAACGTGCATCATTTTGAGGAGATTGAATATTAACAGACCTGTGCTGCAGCTGCGCAGACCGTCCCACAGTGGCCGCCACTTTCTAAAACTCTTTTTGACCCCCAGAGCCAATCACATGACTGAAAGCCACAAATGATGAATATGAAAGTAAATCTAAGAGCTTCTTAACATCAACTAAATGTATTATAAGTCCTCCCAAGTTTTAGTTATTAAAGTTGTAAATCTAAATAAAAAATCCCACAAAAAGTAAGGAAATTTGTGTTTGGTAGATTATGTCTTTGTTGTAACATTGCTTCTTGGCAATAAATATTGTGCTGTTGGATAGCCTGTTTGTTTCCCTTTGAAATGGTGCCACATTTGTAAGGAACATGCATTTGTGGGATGAGCAGCAGAGCTGAGTATGTGGGGTTGCGCCCATGAAAAACTTGCCAAATCTTCTCTGTAAATACCAATTTTATTAATGGCATTGTAGCAATACATCTACCTCAATCATTGTTGTTGTTTTTGTTTTGTTCTTCTGTTTGTCTCTCTCTCTCCCTCTCTCTCTCTGTCTCTCCCTCATTTTCCAAGCCCAACACATGATGGCAGTTCAACATGATTCAGGTCCTGCTTGAGGTTTCTGCCTCTCAAAGGAAGTTTTTTCTTGCCACTGTTACTGTTGCTAAATGTTGCCATGGTCTGTGCTCATGGTGGATTAATGCTGGGTCTTTTCTTTATAACTAATAGAACAAAGAGTAGGGTCGATACTTGTTATTTAGTAAAGTGTCTGCAGATAACATTTGTTATGAATTGGCACTATACAGATTAAGTCTGGTTGATTAATTGATAGTTGGCATATCATTTTGCTGGTCAATGATGATGTCATTCATTTACTCTGATCATTGCTGACTGTATTGATTTGACTTGAATCAATTCTGGTTTTATTTTTTGTACTCTGTTGAATAATGACCTCATACATTTCATGTCTGGGTTTTGCTGACTGTTTTCGTGTAGTCTCTGTTGGCCTCATTCGTTAAAGTTCCTGAAAGTTGTAATAATAAAACACAATAAAGACACTGGAGCAAATGTTCACATTGTTTTATTGGAAGTCAGGTTGTTTCAGCTGGATGATGAGTGATAGCAATGTCCAACTGGGACAAATACATCGGCAACGCAACGCATGTCATTTTTTGTAATTTATTTTTGTTGCCTTAGTAATTAAACAGGTGCCGATAGCATTAGATTTTGACTTGTTTTAAAAATCTGGTATCATGATGACTCTACTGTCCTTGGAGGGTGTAGGAGTAATGGAGCGTTCCACCTCTCTTTAGGAAGCAATCGTGCTGGTGGGTTCCCACCTTCACTGATCTCTGACAGACTCCCAGCTGGTCGTCAAACAGGAAGTCACTGTCGAAAACCTCGAGCCTCAGGATGTCGTTCTCCTGTGCCTTGAAGTAGGAAAACTCCTCCTCCCACCACGGGTTTCGGTTGTTGATACGAACTGACGTTTTACCCAGAGAGGCGGCGCTACAGAACACCTTGACAAAGCCGTCAGTGGTACCCAGCAGGTTTGAGGGAGGTCGCTGGCCCTCAGGTTGAACACCTTGAGCTGAGCATGAGTAGCAGTCACAGTGCAGAGGAGCAGCAGGAGGAGCGACAGACGGGAAGCCATGGTGTCACAGGAAGCTGAGGAGGAAGCACAATACATATAGTATGACAACAGTCTACAGAGGCAACCAGACCAGAGGCGCTCCTTGTCAACAGGCAAGGCAGGCAGCTGCTTGGGGCCCCGGACCAGTAGGGGGGTCCTGAGGGCTCACAAACTTTAACCAAAGAAATGTGCAAATTTTGCAACGACAGTAGGAAACCTCCCTAAGGGGGCACCATCTAACAGCACCACAACCAAAGTTCATCAATGAAAGTCAACAAAGAAAAATGAAGAGGAATGATCCGTCTATAGGAGAGAAAAAAGAAACAGAAGAGGTGTAGGCATCGGGACAATCGCAGACATGATGGTGATAAATGCTGGTTTGAGGGCCCCCCCAATCGATTTTTGCCTGGGGCCCCAACAGACTCTAGAATTGCCATTGAACCAGACCGTTTACTTTCAATGGAATGACAGGACTTTAAGTGCAAACATTAACTTCTAAATATTTTATTTCTTGATCATTGTAACAGCTGCAGCAAGATCATCATCTCTTGACCAAACACAAACTTTTACAATAAGTGATGTGTAAAAGGACATTTGGAAACAACCCGCATGATTCATGAAATAAAGACGCTGAATCCAACTAAAGAGCTCTGATATTATTTCACTCGGTCTTTTAGAAATACTTTGTTTGGAAACTATTTACACATACACAGGTTATTCATACTTGCAGACTCGAGTTGGAGAAGAATACAACACTTCAAGCCAAAAAATCAACCACAATGAAATGTAACTACAGGTATGAAGGCAGCGTTCAATTCATTGTTTTCCAGTTTATAATTAAATAATAATAATGATTGTTATTATTTCTAATGATGCTGTTATTATTATTGTAATTCATTCATTCATTCATAAAAATGAATTTTTAAAGACACTGAATGACATAGGTTAATTATATTTCATGTGTGAGATCTAAAAAAATATGTTGTTAACAATTTGTGAAAAACCAAAGAATGTAAAGTTTAAATATTTCTGGA